ACATTTGCTGTTTGCAGTGGACAGGGAAAGCTCCCTTTGGAATGAATGAGAACTCCCCCGCCCAAACACAAATAGCAAGTATAGGGGCCCTGATCTGGGTCGGGACTACAGGATGGAACATAGGGTTAACCCCCAACTTCATGCCAAGGTCTTACTAGGTAAAGGTAAAGGGACCCCTGACCATTTGGTCCAGTCATGACCGACTCTGGGGTTGCAGAGCTCATCTCGCTTTATAGGCCGAGGAAGCTGGCGTTTGTCCACAGACAGCTTCTAGGTCATGTGGCCAGCATGGCTAAGCCGCTTCTGGCAAACCAGAGCAGCACATGGAAACGCCATTTACCTTCCCGCCGGTGCAGTACCTATTTATCTACTTGCACTTTGATGTGCTTTCGAACTGTTAGGTTGGCAGGAGCAGGGACCGAGCAATGGGAGCTCACCCCGTCACGGGGATTCGAACCGCCAACCTTCTGATCAGCAAGTCCTGGGCTCTGTGGTTTAAACACAGCGCCACCCGCGTCCCAAGGTCTTACTATGTCTTACTATAAAGCTGCTCATGTAATTGCTAATGGTGTGGACGGCGTTGCATCTAACTTGGTCCTCGTGCACCCTCACGCCTTCCCATGCTATGTCATGTGCTTTTGCACCATGTCCTCGGATTGTCTTATAGGGGTTCAGCATTTTTTCTTGTGCTTTAAATGGAGCGTCTTTAAATTGTCACCACACTTACCTTAAGGGCTACTGTGGGCCACATTGTGTGCATGCTGTATGCATGCTGGCCATCCCTGTTGTCCCTGCCATATTCACATGGAGATGGGACACAAACATCATGTTGTACGCTTGTTAAAACCTATGTGCACAGGCCAGAACCCTACAGTTAATTTTCTTTTTTTTTGGGGGGGGGGGGGAGATTGTAGTCTGCATGTACAGTCATACCTTGGTTGCCAAACACCCTGGAACTTGGATGTTTTGGCTACCGAACGATTGAAACCCAGAAGTGACCGTTCCGGTTTTTGAACTTTTTTTGGAAGCTGAACATCCGACAGGGCTTCCACGGCTTCCGATTGGCTACAGGAGCTTCCTGCAGTCAATCAGAAGTTGAATGCTTTGGAAGTAGACCGGACTTCCGGAATGGATTCAGTTTGATTTCTAAGGTATAACTGTATAGGGTTTTACCTGTGTATGACATAATAGAGTTCCTATGACAATGCAGGGATGGTGAAAGTAGAAGCACACTCAGCTTGCCCTTCCATGTGGCAGGACAGAGAGGTCTTTAAGTTATCATCTGAATTGGTCCTCTGTCTCAGTGATGACAAAGTCTTCCTCTTAGCAGAGCTATAATCCATTAGCTTATCTGCATCTTTCTAGCCAATGATATTTTTAAAAACACAGTACTAAGTGTTAGATACAGCAGGAAGGCACCTGATGGCAGCCATCTTACAGAACCTAAGCAACTCTGGGTCTTGTCAGTCGATGCTTTGGGTAGCAGATTGACTGGAATACCATGAAAACCACTTAGTATTGTATATGTAAGGAAGGCAGAACATACGTGCCATCAGTTATTTCTTAGCAAGCCCTGAAAGTCTGAGAGAAGGAACTCTGGTCCTGTACAGAAGATGCAATTTACTAGGTTCCCAGAGAAGCCTTATTTTCCACATCAGTTGAATAAGACGGAGGTTTGATAAGTAAACAGTGGAAATAGGTAAGGAGGAGTCAGGTGATGGAGATGCAAGTCTGACTCATATAAGACTTATTGTTCCAACGGGGCTTAAGGAAACGCAATACAGAATATGGAAGCCGCTTGAAGAGCAAAGACTAGATGGCAGAAAACATGACAGCACATGGGGATGTAGGAAGGTGTTTATACTCAGTTGTACCAATAGTTCAGTATTTGTTCACAGTGACAGACAGCAGCTCTCCAGGGTTTGGGGCAGGAGTCCATTCCAGCCATACCTTGATTGAACTTGGGATTCTTGGCATGCAAAGCATGTACTTTACCACCAAGCAACAACCTTTCCCCAAGAAGGAGTGGAATTAAATAAGAAACTTGACGAGAACGGAAAAAGTAAGAAGCTGGGTGGAGGGCTACTCTTTACATGCCAGCAAGCCAGGCTTCCCCGTGGGATGCTCTATTCAGTTTCACTTCCCTTTAATTTCCCATCTCCCACCCTCAAAAAAAAAGCACCCAGTAAGCATTCCATGTTGCTGGACTCCAGTGCAAATCATTCTTAATGATGGGCCATGCTGGATGAGGCTGATCGGAGCTGGAGTTGGATAACACCTGAGCAACTGGTTGGAGATGTCTGGGGCAGATGGTGTTTCTTTGGCTTCCTCAGCATCCAAACTCTGGAGAATGAGGCCAGAGGGATGGACATCCAGGAATACTGATTTCACAATGCGTGAAAAATACTTTGTTTTGATTAACTCTTGTTGTTTCAGTGTATCGTTATTCCTACACAGATATAAATTTATTGGAGGAATCTAGGAGTGGAAGGGGAAACGTGAAGAACTCATATATCTATTTCTGAACGATAATCTTGGCCATTTGATTGCCCTTTTTACCCATTGCTGTCTTTTTTATTTGTATATATTTTATTTGTATATATTGCTTGTTTTATGTTGTTATGGCCATTGGCTAATGTGAATAAATTTTATATATCTATCGATCGATCTATTTCTCCACCAGCATACATGTTAGAATGGGTGGTTTGACATTATCCTTATTTGGTGAGAACAATTAAGCAGTTGTGTGGTAGAATACATTATGTAGCACAATTTTGGCTGTTGCCCTGATGGTTTCAGTGGTTGAAAGGGCTTCTGTATTTCTTAAATATGATGCAAATGTAGCACCATAGCTGCTGAACCAGATCAGTTAGGGTTGCCCTTTTCTTTTTGATTCAGGTACATCCAAGGTGTCTAAAACTATTGCTTCTATCAGATGCTCATTACAGAGGATAAAACGAAGTCAACAATAATTCTTTATTTGTATGCCTTTAGGTACACATTCACTGGAATTTATACCTTTGAATCACTTATAAAAATTCTCGCAAGGGGCTTTTGTCTAGAAGGTTTCACTTTTCTTCGAGACCCATGGAATTGGCTTGACTTCAGCGTAATTTTGATGGCGTAAGTGCTTTAACCATTTGTTAAAAGCTTATAAGGGCATGGAATTAGTGTCAGTCTATACTAGTGTTGGGGAAATTGTTAGCCTCCTGATGCTGGACTCCAACTCCAATGTAGCCAATGCACAATGGATAATGGGAGTTGTAGTCCAACAACATCCAAAGGGCAGCCGATTTCCCCATCCCAATGTATACCATACCAAGAGGCATGTATTGAAGTAAGTACAAATTCTGCTATCAGTAAAGTTTCCAATTCACAATATACAAAACAGCAAAAGTGATGTTTATTTACTTGTTTATTTACATTTTAGGAATGCTAATTTCATGTCCTGCATTCCAGGAACCTTCATTTGACAATGTGCTAATATATTAAATTAGTTTAGTTCAACCTTTCAGGTCCAGAATGGGTGTTTTACTTTGGCGAAACTTAACTGCAGGTGTCAGTTTGTAAATGTGAACCTTATGCTTAGTATAATATTGCAAAAGCTGAAATCACCAAGTTGGTCTTGATGAAAGACCCCAAGTCATTAGCTTGAGCTCTGCAATTCTGAGTAACTGTGATTTGATTCTACAGGTATGTAACAGAATTTGTAAACCTAGGCAATGTTTCAGCTCTTCGAACTTTCAGAGTATTGAGAGCTTTGAAAACTATTTCTGTAATCCCAGGTAAGAAGTGAGTGGATTGATGAAGTGTCAGGCCCCTTGTATCTCCAACTGTTTTTTGTGTGCTGTCATTGTGTTTGTGTGTGAACTCCCCTATTGCAGATATTTGACAGAGTTTGTGGACCTTGGCAATGTCTCAGCGTTGAGAACATTCAGAGTTCTCCGGGCATTGAAAACAATATCAGTCATTCCAGGTGAGACCTAGGTTAAACACGGAGGCTGATTTTTCAGTTCCACTATTTCTAGCACTAGTCTCATTAATCACTGCCCATATTGCTAAAAGTCAGGAATCGGAAGATCCCTTGTCTTTTCAAATCGACCATTTATTTTAATTTGCAAAATCAGCCTTCGAGTTTAGCAAACAATTGCATGAGACGTCTACAGAATGCACAGCCTATCCGTTACATTTTGTTTTGGGGTTTGCTTTTTACTGTTGTTGCTGCATAAAGGTGACAATTTTTTTTCCTTCCACACTAAACAGCTTTAACACTCTGGCATTTATATTGCCGTATATCTTAGCACATATTGTCTGACGACTGCAATCTTAAACCAGGGGCGAAAATAGGCATTATTTCACCTGGGTCAAAGACTCAGCTTGGCACACACAAACCCATGTGCATTTGTGTACACACACACAGAGGCTGGGAGCATCAATGGCACCTCTTTAGGGGCTTCACCCTGGGCAAAAAACCTGACTAGACTCCGCCCCTTAGCTACGGCTCTGTTTAAACAGACTTATTAGAGAATCAGCCCCACCAAATCAGTGGAACTTATTTCCAAGTAAACATGCATAAGATCGTGCTGCATGGCCAAAATTTGAATTAAGCTCTGAAAGCTTTAATTATTTTATTTTATTTTAAAACTTACCTGTTTCAATAAACATTGCTTGGGAACATATTAATGAATGTCAATGTGAACATAGCCTGGGATCTTATTCCCTACCTATTTTTCTTCTTCTTTTTTCCTTTGGGGAGTGGGTGGGGCGAAGAATGGATTGTGATTGGTGAAAATGCTTTGTAAGAGAAGAAAAAATAGGATTTTACTTTGTTGTTGTTGCTGCTGCTGTTTTTTTTGTTTTTTCGTTTTGTTTTTTTACTAAATGCTATTATTATATGTTGGCATTCCATGAATGAGAAAGCTTCTTGTTTTGCAAAAGGGAAAAAAGGTGTACATTTAATGCAATGTACACAGTGCATTCATGGACAGTTTTTGCTCTTCATGCGTTTCCACAAGTTCTGGGGTACTGTTCATTAAGCTTTACTGTGTCGCAAACAAGATGTTGTTCGCTGTTTCTGCATGGCATCTTAAATAGGATGGAAGAATGCTTGATACGTATTAATACGTCTTTCGATCCCATTTGCAGGCCTGAAGACCATTGTGGGGGCCCTAATTCAGTCAGTGAAGAAGCTCTCGGATGTGATGATCCTGACCGTGTTTTGTCTGAGTGTATTTGCTTTAATAGGGCTGCAGCTTTTCATGGGGAACTTGAGGCATAAATGCCTGATTTGGCCACCTGAAAATTTTACTTTTGAAAGCGACTTCAATAATAGCACAGTGGGAGAAAATGGTACTTTTGTTAACATTACAGAGAGCACCTTTGACTGGGAGGAGTACATTGAGGAAGAAAGTAAGCATGATTGATACGAATATATACACCTACATAGGACGTGTGTTGTGCAAGTTATATATATAAAAAAGCTGAAACATTAAAATTAGGGATGCAACATTTGGTCCAAGCAGTTGACTGTTTCACCTGCCTAAAAGCCTTTTGATCTGCTGACAAAATGGTCTCTTCCAATTAATCAGGCAGCAAATTTCTTTTTTAAAAAAAAATCAGCAAGTCATGTTTTAATACGCACTTACAAAAGCCACAAGCAACAAATGCCACCACTGGAGGCATTTCTCCTTTTCTCTTGCACAGGAGGGAATGCATCTTTTAAGACGTGCCATCACCTAAAATTAAAAAAAGAGTATTATTCTTCAGAACTTTTCTTGTTATTCATGCACAAATTTATGCAGTTCAAATCAGTGAACTCTGGAGTGAGTAATCAACTAAGATTTCTTTAATTTGTGTAGCAATCCTTATCCTTACTCTCAATCAATAAGGAGCTTTTAGCCCTCAAGTGCCAAGACAACAGTGACTTGGAGAGAGATTCCTAGGTATTTTAAAAAAAAAAAAAAACCGAAACAAATATTTGCATAACTTTGTGTAATTTTTTTTAAAAAGAAGTGTATTCTTTCCTTTGGCGGGATCCAGACTACCTATGGGTAGGAATGGGAGAGGTATTTTTTCCTTGCAGCCTACTCTGCCTCTCCCCAGAAGGCTGCTGTAGGGGACCAGCCCATGGGACCCATCAGAAAAGCAGGGGAGGTGGCACTGAGAGCTGCCGGGAGGAAGGGGAGATGCTAAAAATGGCCTCTCCCACTCCCCTTCCTCCAGCGGGAGCCTCTACTGCATCTTGAGCTGCTCTGCAAATGGAAAGACAAGATGGGGACCAAATCACTTGGTTATAGTTCTATATGGATCTGTGTTTCATAACAGCAACGACTGAAAAATACAGTTCTTTATCCTTTCCCCCCCAAATCAGGTCATTTTTATGTTTTGGAAGGACAAAGAGATGCCTTGCTTTGTGGCAACAGCTCTGATGCTGGGTAAGAATTTTTAATAATTTGTTGAATTCTCTACAATAAAACTAAGGAGCACCAAGCCTCTTGACTGAGAGGTACCTGAACACTCCGGCACCTGTTAGGAGCTTTGGTATGAGTGAGCAATGTCAACTACACACACACATACCCTTTCGCAAGCAGTCCTAGGAGTCCAGAATGTGCCCATACCAGGCTAGGATATAACCTAATGTAAATAAGGCATCTAGTTTAGGATATAGGATCAAGATAGGTTATTGGAAATACATTTACTGGCTTACTCTCTGTAAAAAAATATTTAAGTGAGATAATAAAGCAGTTTGGCAATTAGGTGCACGGGTTTCTCCTAGGGGAGAGAGAAGAGTATGCATATGCCAGCAATTATCTCCTTTGAAACGATCTGGGCTTAATTGCTAGAGCAGCTTTCTGATTCCAGAGGTCACCTTCTGCAAAACTGCATTGGCTGGAGCGGGGTGTGTGTGTGTGTGTGTGTGTGTGTGTGTGTGTCGCTATTTATGATCCTATCTTTAGCTAATGGGTTAGAGCTGACAACCCTACACATGACATAGGGATTTCCCAGCCTAAGCTTTCTCTCTTTTGCAATGTGGCACGTTTATCTGCCTTTTTAATGTCATAAGGTGGTTGGTTTGTACCTAACTCCCTTGATTAATTCACTTGGGGGTAGGGAAGCTCTTTCAGCCACCTTCCTTTATGGACAACTTTTAGGGAGCCAGTGGTGGGTGAGGCCAGAGGCAAAAGAGGGCACAACACTTATGGTGAATATTGCCTTTGTTTGGGAGGCTAGTTTCTTCGCTCTACCCTCTAACAAGAAGCATGATTGGGTTTCAAGGGCTGGCAAAAGCATTCAGGGAGTTCGAGGGAGCCTGTGTGGCCTTAAGAGACCCCAGATGAGAGTTTTGACAGAGAGGCCTTGTTTGTTCCACGTCCCTGAAGCCCCTAAAGAAGATCAGTGCGGCTGTTGCAGACTCTTACCATTTGAAAAGGCTCTCCCAAATTTTTGTCTGTGTCTAGTGGTCGTTGGATGCTATTTGCTGATACCTCATTTGAGAGGTATAGTCATAGTGAAGATGCCTATGTAACAAATGAATAAGTAACATGGAATTAAGAATATGGATCGAAATTAAGGCTATAGATAGTAAAGAGAAATGAAAGGCTTAAAAGCGACTCTGGAGCTAAGCATGCCTCTGTTGTTGTTGTTGTTTAGTCGTGTCCGACTCTTCGTGACCCCATGGACCAGAGCATGCCAGGCACTCCTGTCTTCCACTGCCTCCCGCAGTTTGGTCAAACTCATGCTGGTAGCTTCAAGAACACTGTCCAACCATCTCGTCCTCTGTCTTCCCCTTCTCCTTGTGCCCTCAATCTTTCCCAACATCAGGGTCTTTTCCAGGGAGTCTTCTCTTCTCATGAGGTGGCCAAAGTATTGGAGCCTCAGCTTCAGGATCTGTCCTTCCAGTGAGCACTCAGGGCTGGTTTTCTTAAGAATGGATGTGTTTGATCTTCTTGCAGTCCATGGGACTCCCAAGAGTCTCCTCCAGCACCATAATTCAAAAGCATCAATTCTTTGGCGATCAGCCTTCTTTATGGTCCACCTCTCACTTCCATACATCACTTCTGGGAAAACCATAGCTTTACCAAACTTCAATCCTATTAAACAAGCCCTTTTAGCTTTGTGCTGAGTCATTGCAGTAGCAAAATGTTTGCTTGAGAGCCAATTAGAAATAATAAAATGAGGTGATAAAATATTTGAGTTGCATTTAAATTATTCCATGAGCATTTGGCCTTGGAATTAATCATAACTGTTTCATTATTAGTCCAGAAGCTTGTCTGTGTTTGTCGGTTGCATAAAAAATTGACCAAGTGCCCTGTGGCAACTTAAAAGTCTTAACAGATTGAATAGCATGATGAGTCTGAGACATACACTCCTTCATCTCGTATGTGAACTGAATTTAATGTTAATGTTAATGTTAGATTTATCTTTAAAAATACAACTGTATATATTTTTTTCTGAATGAAATCTTGTAGACTCCCAATGGAATCTTGTAGACTCTACAATATAACTTTGGAAATGAAAGATTAGACACCTTGGTCAGTGGTTCAGCTACTTCTGGGGCAATTCACAGCAAACTAAGGCTTACAACCAATATTGCCTTATAAAACATACTTCCAAGGCATATGTTGTTGTTTTTTTAAGAATAATTTTTTATTAACCGACCAATCACATCAAATCAAACCAAATTACATAAATTCCAAATTACACAGCCGAATTTTAAATTTTTGTTGGGGGTACCCATATTTCAAGTTCGAAGGGATCCAATCAACTTCTTGCTTCTTACTGCTGTTTTAATGTCCACAAATCTAACCTTATGATGTTCACAGTACTATCCAGTCCTTTCTTATTATTTTTCCACATCTCTTGTTGTTATTTTCATATATTTTTCCTTTCTCTTTGTGACCTCTGATAGTCTCCGCAAGCTGGTTAGAACAGTTTGTAATCCTGCGTGGATATTAATTTTTTTATCCAGTAGCCATATCCAGACGTTTTCCATATAACATCACTTCCATACATCAAAACAGTCTTAGCGTCATTAATCTTCACCAATCTGCCTCCTTTCTCAAAACCTCTGAGGAGATTTACTAGGAATGCAGTCTGAAAACAAATCCGTTCTTCCTCCCGGCTATAAATCCTTTGGCAAGATGGCGACTCCGAATTAATTGCTGCGCCATTCCCAAAAGCTCTTATTGCTTCTCGGTGTCCATAAAGCATACTTTTGGTTAAAGTTTATCTCCACGCAGACCTTAATCATCCTGCTTGGGTCAGTTCAACCGATGGTTCTAATGAGGAGGGGTTCTTGTAAATCACATAGAAGGAAAGTAAAAAAGGTTCCCCCCCCATTCAGCCCCGTTGTCAACATACCCCGCCTTTGGTATATCTTCATCGTAAAATATTCCTGTTTCTCCAGCCCGTCGTCTTCTTTCGCAGAGGTCACTTAAATTAGCAGACTTCACTCCCCTTCTTCACTTGAAATATGTGCATTTGCTTCTTTTGTAATTAATTATTCCAAATTGCTGCAACTAGTGCGCGATCAGAGACAGCATCCAGGGGAGCCGATGTCCACACGGGGGCATTCTGCCTAGGGCCCTCACCCCCTTCTTTCGAATTAGGGGGTGATTTATGGGCACAGCAGGCAAGGGCAGTGTTCCCCATTTCCTTGGGGCAACAAGGGAGGCTGCCTACTCCCATAACAGCCTCTTAATTACCCCGTGTGGGTCGGAGAGATGGTATTGTCGGCCATCTTCTAATGCGCCCCCTAGTGGCCCCCTTCCAAGGCATATGTAGATGCAAAGCCTCATTTCAGAAATAAGCAGACTTACAGTGCAGCCCTGTACATGTCTACTCAGAAGTAAGTCCCAGTGAATTTAGTGGGGCTTACTCTGAGGTAAGTAGGAATAGGATTGCAGTCCCAGGCACGCATTGCTCCTAAATGAAATCTATGGACTTAAGTTAGCAAAGACTAGGTTTGTTTCATTCATTTTAATGGGACCTCTAAGCGCACCTAACTTGGTCTGGATCTAACCTCTTAATTCTGAAGAACAACTAGGAAAACAAACCATTCAATTTAGGGGGGGAAATGTGGCCTTGAAATACCACACAATGGAAGCAAAAGAAATATTGTGTTGTGTTTCACTATGATTTCCTTTTTCATAGTCAATGTCCGGAAGGATATGTGTGTGTAAAAGCTGGCCGAAACCCCAACTATGGCTACACAAGTTTTGATACCTTCAGCTGGGCCTTCTTGTCGCTCTTTCGGCTGATGACTCAGGACTACTGGGAAAACCTTTACCAACTGGTGAGAACTATCACGAGGCATGCTTAGTATGTATGATAATAAAGCGGAAGCTTTTTTCTTGCTGACTGTGTGTAACTTTTCAAAAAACCTGACGCAAAACCTGAAGCAATTAGTTATAATTTATGCATATTTGGGGCGTCATTACAATTTGCAGTTGATGAATAGGCAAGGCAGTATCATCGGCAGAAAACCTAACCGGTGAGACCTTGTTGTTTCTCCCCACACTAGACCTTAAGAGCTGCTGGCAAAACGTACATGATCTTTTTTGTCCTGGTGATTTTCCTGGGCTCTTTCTACCTGATCAACCTGATCCTGGCCGTTGTTGCCATGGCCTACGAAGAGCAGAACCAAGCCACCATGGAAGAAGCAGAGCAGAAGGAGGCCGAGTTCCAGCAAATGCTGGAGCAGCTGAAAAAGCAACAGGAAGAAGCCCAGGTAGCTTTCTTCTGGAAAATGCACTGCTTGTAATGCACTTGCTATAATGTGCTGACATAAACTTGTATCTTATCAGATTTTTATGTTCCTGGGCAGCACCTGCCAAGGCCCTCACTGACATCCAGAGCTCTCTGGACCTTCTGATGTTCTCCTTCTTGTTGCCACTTACTAGCCTGCTTGGTCTCCCTCTCTCTATCTCCACCAAGTGGGAGTGATAGGACCGAGGAGCCAGAGAAGCTAGTTGACTTTCCAGCCCTTTCCCTCCATATGGCCAACAGAGAAGAAGTGGGTGACTGCAGGAGCCAAGCAGAATGGTCGGGGTTGGGCAATAGGGGCAACGTTCCTCCAAATCTGCAGCTGGCATTGGATTTAAGCCTCCCTACGGGATGAGCTCCCGTTGTTTGGTCCCTGCTCCTGCCAACCTAGCAGTTCGAAAGCACTTCAAAGTGCACTCCAGCGGGAAGGTAAACAGCGTTTCCGTGCGCTGCTCTGGTTCGCCAGAAGCGGCATAGTCTTGCTGGCCACATGACCCGGAAGCTGTACGCCGGCTCCCTTGGCCAATAAAGCGAGATGAGCGCCGCAACCCCAGAGTCGTCCGCAACTGGATCTAATGGTCAGGGGTCCCTTTACCTTTAAATATCACAAAACAGCGAGTCTGCTACCGTTAAACACTTGGTGCTAAATAAATAAATAAATAAATGTTTAGCGGGTGTTTATGTACTTATATTTAGCCTCAACTTGTGTTGCATTAATCAAAGGTATTGGGACTTTGTTTCAATGTGTACCTTTCCTCCATAAATGTGCTTTGCTCTCCTCACGCCACCTTAAAATACTTGGTGTCACCTGAGGCACTGCCAAGCTGACTTTGTATGAGAATTCCGGGATTCCATCATTCCAGGGGATGATTGCCCTAAAGTATGGAAGCCTGCATAGTGTGACTGGAGCGTATCCACCCCATGCCTTCCCTCCATTTTCAGCTGAGGCGTATTCTTATTGCATATCCATGAGGTCGCTAAATACAAGGAAGGAGAGGCGGACAGTACTCACTAGGCTGCACATATGCTAGTCCCACCCCTAATCTCTGTGTGGTTGACTGAAGCCATGAATGGGGCTTTATGTGGACACAGCTTTATGTGTGATAGGGAACCCTGGTGTGGTCTCAGTTCCCAATCAGGCATTCAGGGACTTTTCTCATGTTCCTCCAGCTTTGTGAAGGGCAGTGTGGGACTGCTGTACGTGCAGCAGATGAAGACAGGGCCTGCAGGCATGATCCAGTCTCAGCAGTGTACAGGAGGGTCTTGGGAGATCAGAATGGCCTCGACCAGAGCCAGGGCCTTTTTGGCCGTGGCCCCGGCCTGGTGGAACGCTCTCTCACAAGAGGCTAGGGCCCTGCGAGATTTGACATCTTTCTGCAGGGCCTGTAAGACGGAGCTGTTCCGCCAGGCCTTTGGTCAGGGTTCAGCCTGACTCGTTTTCTCTTTGTATAAGAACAAGCATGAAGGAGGTTCCCAGCCTGCTCATAGGTCCTTATAATATCAGTGGAAACAGTTGGTCTTGGCAAGTATTAACCGCTTCCAATTTTAACCTGAAGATTGCCACGTGTCCAGTTTTAATTTTAATGTTAATTGTTTGAATTAACTGTGGGATGTATCTTAGTTGATTGATCGCTTGTGTTATGCATATCGTCTTATTTATATGATGTTAGCTGCTCTGAGTCCAGCTTTGGCTGGGGAGGACGGGCTGAACGATGGGGGTGAAGACACTCCTTATCAATTAATGTGATTCGTCAATGGGATAGGAGGACTAGAAGTGAAAAACTCTGCAGAAGCAAATAACTAATGATCCACTTGCCTTCATGATACTTCACTACCAACTCTTAAATAGTAGGATGGAATTGGCTGGTGTGTTCCAGAAACATGGGCTGGTGGAAGTAGCTGTGAAGGAGAAAAGATTGGGATCTAATGGCTCTCTGTTGGACTATAATAGGAATAGGCATGTTCTAAGCAGAGGCAACATACCATTGGTGGCTAACTTATTAAAAACTACAAGGACAACTCTGCTGTACTGTATTTTCAGAGAACTTCATTACCTTAAAAGAAGAAAGCAAGCATTATTTTATTCCAAATAGAGAGGCACTAATTATTGACATTTGTACGTAATTGCTTTGTGACTGTGTACCCTTGGAAGCAATAATGAATCTCTCTAAGGTTATGATTTAATGTGGTAATCCAACTAATGCTAATTACCTGACACTGTAACACAACAGACAACAGCAGCTGTGGCAGCAGCATCGATGGCATCAAGAGATTTCAGCGGCGTGGGTGGATTGGGGGAGCTCTTGGAAAGTTCTTCAGAGGCATCTAAATTAAGCTCCAAAAGTGCTAAAGAAAGAAGGAACAGGCGAAGGAAAAAAAGGCAGAAGGAACTTTCGGAAGAAGAAGATAGGGCCGAAGCTGAAAAGTTTCCTAAATCTGAATCTGAAGACAGTATCCGAAGGGGAGCTCACCTGTCCTATGAAAAAAGGACTTCAACTCACCAGGTAAAGTATGCAAGCTATGTAATTCTGAGGCAAATTTTTTCATGTATATCCCAGGTCATAAGGAATAGGACAGAGCCCTTTTCATGGTGGCCCCACAACTGCACAACTCTCTTCCACAAGTGGCCTGCTATGCTCCATAATTAGGGTCTTATAGAAAATCCATTAAGACTATTTCTTTCTTTTTTTTGGTCCAAGTCAAGGTGTACAAATAGAGACTGGCTTTGTTTTGCAGTGTCTCCCACTGAATTCTATGGAACAAGCTAAAAAGCATGCAATCTGGGTCATAGTTGAAAGAAGGCAAAGCCTGCAGATACTGGGGGGTCACCAAGGGCAGAGAGGATATTTCACCCTCACCTCAACAGTGTCCCTGAGTGCATCCTTTTACTTTCTCCCATATAAGTGAATATTTACATTTGAGGACAAATAAGAGGTGGAGGCAAAGGCTGCCCCACCACCACAGTGACCCCATTGTGGGAATTGTACCTCTCCTTCCAGTACCGAATGTCGTGTCGGGGGAACAGAGTGGGGGCTACATGATCCCAAGACATAGGTGTAGGTGTTATACATTTATTTCTAAAACTTGCCACTACCAAAGTCCTGAAGCAATTTACAGTCAAACGAAAAGATCAAATAGCAAAAATAAAATAAAACGTATTAAAAACATATGCAGAACAAAATATCATAAAAGGGTTTATCTCCATCCTAACCACCACATGAAATTTACATGTGAAATGTTGTAACGTATATAATGGTGGTTTAAAATAAAAGTTGCTAAGCCAGGAACTTCAAACCTCTTATTTCAGAGTATCTTTAGAACCAATAGGAAAATCAATCAGACTAGTCCAGGGATTACTGGAAGTTTAAAGTAACTAGATCCGAAAGCATATTCAGAAGCAGGAGTAATAAATCTTAACAGAAGGATCGTCTCCCCACCTCCCAGTACTAGTGATGACTTTATTTATTCATGAGTACTGCTAATGAAATATGCAGAGAGGGAGTAAAAGATTCCATTAAGGAGTTTCTTGTTGTGCAATTAAATAAAAGCGTGGCCAGCAAAAATTGATTCCCACCCCCCCTTCTCTCAGTGGCAAAGTCACCATCTTCAGGTCTCTTGTGGCTGCTGGATGTTGCTTGAAAGCATTAATTGATGAGACAATATGATTAATAAATGGAGGATTAATAGATCTCAAGTTAAATGGATTTAGCCATTGGGCTTCCCCCAAAGCAGTAAGCAACAGCCGCCTACTTAATACGCTTTCTTTTGCCTTCGGAAGCATCTACTGATGTTTGAAAGATCCCCCTTGAGGATAATGCAGGGTGGGTCATGGCTATGTATAATTAAATGGTTGAGGAGATTTTTCCTAACAATGTTGCCTTGCATAATGGGTTGGAGAAGAACAAGTAAGCCTGGGCTGTGTAAATGAGTGTCAAAACTTAAATAGGAACATAGAAGTCCCCTTATACTGAGTACAGTGGTGCCTCGCAAGACGAAATTAATCCGTTCCGCGAGTCTCTTCGTCTTGCGGTTTTTTCGTCTTGCGAAGCACGGCTATTAGTGGCTTAGCGGCTTTAAGAAAAAGGAAACAAACTCGCAAGAACTCGCAAGACCTTTCGTCTTGCGAAGTAAGCCCATAGGGAAATTCGTCTTGCGGAACAACTCAAAAAATGGAAAACTCTTTCGTCTAGCAAGTTTTTCGTCTTGCGAGGCATTCGTCTTGTGGGGCACCACTGTAATTGGTCCATCTATGGTCCATCTATGAGCACTAATATATACTCAAAGTGTATACTCAGTTCTGAACAAACTAAGCCTCGTCACAGCTGCCAGAGGGCTGTGAAAAATTGTGTGCCAGGCTTTTTGGACTCGTCTACCCATGAAGTTTCTGAAACCAAAGGGGGTACATTGGTTGCCCGGTATGATCCCCCCCCCCAGCTCTCCTACCCCACTATTAAGGTTGCAGGGATTGAAACTTCCGCAGGCAAAGCTCTCCTACCTGAGCTAGCATCCTTCCCAAGACCAGGGGAGATCTGGGTCTATGGAAGAATAAGCCAAGTTGAGTATCCTGAAACAGTGGGACGCGGGTGGCGATGTGGGTTAAACCACAGAGCCTAGGACTTGCTGATCAGAAGGTCGGCGGTTTGAATCCCTGCCACAGAGTGAGCTCCCATTTCTTAGTCCCTGCTCCTGCCAACCTAGCAGTTCGAAAGCATGTCAAAGTGCAAGTAGATAAATAGGTACTGCTCTGGCAGGAAGGTAAACGGCATTTCCGTGCACTGCTCTGGTTCACCAGAAGCAGCTTAGTCATGCTGGCCACATGACCCGGAAGCTGTACGCCGGCTCCCTCGGCCAGTAAAGCAAGTTGAGCGCTGCAACCCCAGAGTCAGCCATGACTGGACCTAATGATCAGGGGTCCCTTTACCTTTAAGTCAAAAGCAATTAAAACAACAACAACCCACGAGTGGTTCCAAATACTAACTGTGTTGTTGTTTCCCCTCTTCCCCTCCCCCACCCCCCTCACAGTCTTTGTTGAGCCTTCGCGGCTCCTTGTTTTCCCCGAGGCGCAACAGCAGAACCAGCATTTTCAGCTTCAGAGGCCGAGCAAAGGACATAGGATCGGAAAACGACTTCGCTGACGATGAGCACAGCACCCTCGAGGACAACGAGAGCAGAAGGGACTCTCTCTTCGTCCCAAACAGACACAACAGCGAACGCCGTAACAGCAACACCAGCCAGGCGAGCCTGTCGTCGAGGATGGTGCCGGCAATTCCGGCAAACGGGAAGATGCACAGCACCGTGGATTGCAATGGCGTCGTTTCCTTGGCGGGAGGACCTCCTGGGCTCATATCACCTCCTGGGCAGCTTCTGCTGGAGGTGAGAAGCTTCCTATTCCACTCTGTCGCATCTGGCATGTTTCTTACATCTTAGACCCCCGGTTGGAGACCTCAAGCTCAGGGGTCGAATGAACAACTCTGTCTGGCCCTCAGAACTCTCTCCAGGCCACACCCACCACGGATTCATCTTTTCCCCCTGAGTTTCTTTCCTGGCTTCAATGTGCCCATGAACTCTTAATCATGCTTGTTGTTTGTCTGGATGGAGATAGAAGGGTGTATTTAGAAAGTAGACTACTGGGGTAAAAGCAAAAATTACATTCATCGCATGTGCCGTCAAGTGGTAGCCCAGAATGGAATGTGAACCAGGTTTCCCCATCCCTGCCTTACACTATGATGCCTCTGTTTGTGTACACTGCCTCTGATTTTCCCAGATGGCTACCACCACCACTAAAGCACATGCAAAGTTGTGCGTATTGAACACCACCAAAAAAACCTCAGATCTTGGTGTGATCTTGGGGGGTCACATTTATATAGCTTATGGCTTGAGTTCCTGGAATTATATGGACCACAATTGTATTTTCAGGGTACCACCACCGAAACAGAAATAAGAAAAAGAAGATTGAGCTCTTACCAGATTTCGATGGAGTTGATGGAAGAATCTGCAGCAAGGCAAAGAGCCATGAGTATAGCCAGTATACTCACAAACACCATGGAAGGTACCGGGTTGGGGGGGCAGGAATATGTTTGGCCATGTATTGTGCTGATATCACACTCTTAAAAGAGGGCCACTTCTATTTCAGTGGAAAGTAAGTATTGTTAAGTGCTGAACCCTTAGGCATTCATTGAGCATTTCCATTATTTAGAGTGATTCAAGTTGATTCAGCCCTTGTAAAATTCCCTAATTTTGTTTCCACCTCCCTGTCAGGCAGCTGTTAAAATGGTTTTCAGGTGATTTTTGCATCGTCTCTAATGATGGCATGCCTGGCCTTCCTGGGTAACAGGTATTTCTGATGCACCAAAGAAGAAAAGAATCTTCCTGTTCTTAGTGGCATGAGAAGCAATTAGTTTGTACCAAAACTTGTGCCTCATCTACCTCATCTAAGTGCTAACGCTTCAAAATGGCAGTGGTTGGCAAACCAAGGGAAGACAATTGTAGCCTTGTGTACACGCCAGTCAGATTTTTATTGTTTGTGGGCAACGCCCATTACAATATAAATCACAAAACAACCACAATGGGCAATCCAATACAAGGGTAAGTAAAAGCATCAAGTTTTTGAATTACAAATAATCGAAACTTAAAATGATAAATCATTTATAGGTTTTTTAAAAAAATTCCCTTAGCAGTTTGTTTTTTTTAAGTATCCTGTAACATTCTCATTTTTAGCTAACAAACTTGCTAACGTCAGCCAGCAACCATCTAATTTTGTAATAATCAGATAATCCTATGTAGTGTATAGTTCTGGCTGTTCATTGCAGAAAGCTGATTTATTTTTTATTTTTTTAACAAATATCTTGCCTATAAAATCTTTTTCCAGAACTTGAAGAATCCAGACAGAAGTGTCCACCATGCTGGTATAGATTTGCAAACACGTTCTTGATCTGGGATTGCTGGCCTCCTTGGCTAAAAGTGAAGCACATCATGAATTTGATAGTGATGGATCCATTTGTGGATCTTGCTATCACCATCTGCATTGTTTTGAATACGCTGTTTATGGCTATGGAGCACTATCCGATGACTCCCTATTTCAACCATGTCCTTTATGTTGGAAACCTGGTATGTGAACAATTATTTATTCACGTGATCTTATACTAGGAATCCTTAAGGCAATGTACAATGCGGTATACAAGAATTTTGAAATGTAACTCAATTAAAAAGAGAAGCCGAGTAAAAAGCAGTGGAATGTACCAGAATCGAGATGCACAGAATCCAGATATGTAGCACCATCTTGAAAAAATTTCCCCGAGTAACAGGGGAGATTTTCAGTGGCATCCAAAATTATCTGAAGGAAGTGTGCATGCACACGAAAGCTCATACCGATAACAAACTTAGTTGCTCTCTAAGGTGCTACTGGATGGAATTTTTTAAATTTTGTTTTATCTAAAATTAAATCAGTGATGAGCATCACTGGGTTTCCCTGATGAAAGTTATTTAGCAAACGTGCTGTAAAAGTCCTGCTCCAAGATTACCAGGTTTAATCCCCTGGAGGAAAGGGCTGGATTTTCAGGCTCTCTTTATGAACCCCTCAGGTGTCCCCGAAAGTGGGTGGGAGAGCCCCCATTCAACAAATTGTCACTGCCATCCCAGAGCCCGAACAGGACATCCTCTGTGGACTCCAAAGAGGGTCTCCTCATGAGCCAGAGGTGCAGCGTGGCTTTGCTGAGGTCCTTCAGCCTCCTAGCTAACAGCTGGCATGTGGGAAAACAACGCCTCAACTGAGCAAGCCCCCAGGCTCTTTGGGCTCGTTAAGCAGCTCAACTGAAGCGCTGAGGCCCCTCCCTGCCTCAGCTGAGCAAGGCCCCACCCTGCTGAGGGAGGAGCTCGTTAAGCAGCTCAACTGAAGCGCGGAAGCCCCTCCCTGCCTCAGCTGAGCAAGGCCCCACCCTGCTGAGGGAGGAGCTCGTTAAGCAGCTCAACTGAAGCGCGGAAGCCCCTCCCTGCCTCAGCTGAGCAAGGCCCCACCCTGCTGAGGGAGGAGCTCGTTAAGCAGCTCAACTGAAGCGCGGAAGCCCCTCCCTGCCTCAGCTGAGCAAGGCCCCACGTTGCTGAGGGAGGAGCTCGTTAAGCAGCTCAACTGAAGCGCGGAAGCCCCTCCCTGCCTCAGCTGAGCCAGGCCCCACCCTGCTGAGGGAGGAGCTCGTTAAGCAGCTCAACTGAAGCACTGAGGCCCCTCCCAGCCTCAGCTGAGCAAGGCCCCACCCTGCTGAGGGAGGAGCTCGTTAAGCAGCTCAACTGAAGCGCGGAAGCCCCTCCCTGCCTCAGCTGAGCCAGGCCCCACCCTGCTGAGGGAGGAGCTCGTTAAGCAGCTCAACTGAAGCGCGGAAGCCCCTCCCTGCCTCAGCTGAGCAAGGCCCCACCCTGCTGAGGGAGGAGCTCGTTAAGCAGCTCAACTGAAGCGCGGAAGCCCCTCCCTGCCTCAGCTGAGCAAGGCCCAACGTTGCTGAGGGAGGAGCTCGTTAAGCAGCTCAACTGAAGCGCGGAAGCCCCTCCCTGCCTCAGCTGAGCAAGGCCCAACGTTGCTGAGGGAGGAGCTCGTTAAGCAGCTCAACTGAAGCGCTGAGGCCCCTCCCTGCCTCAGCTGAGCAAGGCCCAACGTTGCTGAGGGAGGAGCTCGTTAAGCAGCTCAACTGAAGCGCGGAAGCCCCTCCCTGCCTCAGCTGAGCCAGGCCCCACCCTGCTGAGGGAGGAGCTCGTTAAGCAGCTCAACTGAAGCGCGGAAGCCCCTCCCTGCCTCAGCTGAGCCAGGCCCCACCCTGCTGAGGGAGGAGCTCGTTAAGCAGCTCAACTGAAGCGCTGAGGCCCCTCCCTGCCTCAGCTGAGCCAGGCCCCACCCTGCTGAGGGAGGAGCTCGTTAAGCAGCTCAACTGAAGCGCGGAAGCCCCTCCCTGCCTCAGCTGAGCAAGGCCCCACCCTGCTGAGGGAGGAGCTCGTTAAGCAGCTCAACTGAAGCGCGGAAGCCCCTCCCTGCCTCAGCTGAGCCAGGCCCCACCCTGCTGAGGGAGGAGCTCGTTAAGCAGCTCAACTGAAGCGCGGAAGCCCCTCCCTGCCTCAGCTGAGCAAGCCCCCCCCCTGCTGAGGGAGGAGCTCGTTAAGCAGCTCAACTGAAGCGCTGAGGCCCCTCCCTGCCTCAGCTGAGCCAGGCCCCACCCTGCTGAGGGAGGAGCTCGTTAAGCAGCTCAACTGAAGCGCGGAAGCCCCTCCCTGCCTCAGCTGAGCAAGGCCCCACCCTGCTGAGGGAGGAGCTCGTTAAGCAGCTCAACTGAAGCGCGGAAGCCCCTCCCTGCCTCAGCTGAGCCAGGCCCCACGTTGCTGAGGGAGGAGCTCGTTAAGCAGCTCAACTGAAGCGCGGAAGCCCCTCCCTGCCTCAGCTGAGCAAGGCCCCACCCTGCTGAGGGAGGAGCTCCCCCTTGCCTCAGCTGAGCAGCCTCAACAAGCTTCTGACTGCCAAGGGGATGCACCCCCCCAGCTCAAAAGGATCGCCTTTAGGCTGGGTCTTCTGAGGGAGGTGTGTTCCGGCACCTTTTTCCCCAGAAAAAAAGCACGGGGGGGCACTATTGCCATGGTTTTGCCCCACTAGACACACCACTCCTGCCCCACAGGATAAAGGAAATGCTTGTGGACAGTGCTATTTTTCTGAAAAAAGAGGTGCCAGAATTCACCATGAATTCACCCTTGCTCTCCTATAGTGGTGCCCACCTGAGAGGTGCCAGAACTGAGTTCTAGTGAGTTCTAGTGAGTTCTGGCTGCAAAAAAATAATAATAAAAAAATGGCCTGCTTGTGGGTAACTAGAAATATCTACTTCAAACTTGTCACCATCTTTCGCTTGAAAATAAAGCTATGCACAATAAAGGAAAGTAGTTGCTAATGCCCTAAAAATCACTGCTGTTAACCAAACAGGTGTATTTTGTGTGCTTTTTAAAGTTTGATTGCACTGTTTGTTAAAATGAATAATCACCATCCTAATTCCACAGGTGTGGGTCTCCTTAGCAAAGCCATTGGGAAGACTAGCGGGAAATGACTATGCAAAGCTCTTAAACAGATGACTCTCTTTGCATCCCGCCCCTATTACCTTCGCTTCTTTAGGCTCTCATTAATGAAAATGCGATTACGAATGTTATTTGACAATATTAGAGAATCTTAGCCCATGTAATCTAAGCTGCTTTGCAGAGATCATTTGTGGAGCAACACTTAGGCTTAGCCTATATAATTTTTTCACAAGCTGATTTAGTCGTGCCGCCATTGTTCCAGCACAGAATTGTCTGCAACGCTGGAAAGTTTGTAGATCACATTGCCATCTCATTACCTTTGTTCAGTAAAACAAATTACTTAGGAACCTAATATTTCAAAAAGTGCTTTAAAATAAGAAAAAAGACCATCATAATAATGTTACCACTTTAGTAGTGTGGTGGTGGAATATTTAACAGTACCATTCTGATAATCCAAATTAATTCTAATATATCAGTGCCTGACCTGAAAGTCCCCATTTATGTCCTCACGTCCCCAGACAGAAATTATACCTTTATGGACCTTTCATTTTCCTAGAACACGAAACTATATCAGCTTTTAATGTGAAATATGAACACAAATAGAATAAATATTCATACCTGTGTAATTTAACACTGTTCAAGTTCCAGCGAATGACCTACTGATTTAGAGGTGCTGATTCAAAATGCATAAGAACAGCACATTTGGCTGGTGCCCTTAGTGCCAGATATAATTAGATCATGCCATCTATGCCCACTGTATTATGTTCCACCCTTTTCTGTTATTATCATTATTACAATTGATTTATCAGCTGCACCATTGTCTCAAGGCGGTTTACACATGAAGTGTTCTAGGGGCCATCAAAAGTATTCTTAAATCCCCATTGTGGGTATCTTAGGGTGCAGGTGCAAGTGAGCGGTGCAGAAAATCAAAACAGACTACAGTACTCAGACCATTTACTTAAGCATGTGAGGTGTGACTTTAACCTTGCAATCCACCTATTTTCCGGTTAATTTAGGGCTGGTTCCCAAAGGCCAGTGGGCCTCGTATGAGTGTATCAGGCGTGTGCAGGATTGCTAGGTTCATATTCCAGAGGCACTTGCGCAGAAACACTGATCACATCCACACATAGCTTCCTTCAGTAACCCCGGGAATTTTCACATACCTGCAATTCTTAGCACCCTTAGCAAGCTGGAGTTTGTGGTAACAATAAAATATTTGTGTTCCCGATCACTTGTTTTCAAACATATGTGGGAAACAGGTACGCACTGTAGGGTATTCCCATCTGAAGCAGTCTTCATACTGTATTAACTTTAATTAGGGACGAGTGCTGGTTCATAATGTCCTCCCTGCTGGTACTCATTTAAAAACCTCAACTCTTTTACTCTCTTAATCTCTTAACCTCATTTTCTTGGTTTCTGTCCAAAGGAAGTTAATTTACTATTATTTGGTGGCCTGCTTTGTAGCTTGGCAATTGATTATGAGCCTTTTCCTTCTTCTCCTTTTCAGCCAAAGGAAATTACAATGAAAGTCCTTGATTACTTCTACATAATTTAAAAATTAATCGTATTAAAATTAAGTGTTTCGTTTTTAACAGAAAAACATTAATTGAAGGGGCTTCAGAAGTGACAGGAGAATGTCTCCGCAGAAATGAAGAGTTCAAGCAAAAGTATTTTTTAAAAATGACCCAAATGTTAGGGATATCGAAGATAAGAGCATTTTTCTGCTATGTTACCTGAAAATATCTGCCACCCTATTTTTTTACTATGACAGCATTCCAGAATATGAAATGCAGTAGGATGTGAATAATATATAGAGAGAGATTGCTATCCTAATGCTGTTCTAGCATTCATTCCACAGGATGACACAATGAAAGACCACCCTAAACTCACCATTTTAAAGTGGTGAGCCCCTTAGGAATCAATTATAAAGGGACCCCTGACCATTAGGTCCAGTCGTGACCGACTCTGGGGTTGCGGCGCTCATCTCGCTTTACTGGCCGAGGGAGCCAGCGTACAGCTTTCGGGTCATGTGGCCAGCATGACTAAGCCGCTTCTGGCGAACCAGAGCAGCACACGGAAATGCCGTTTACCTTCCCACCAGAGCGGTACCTATTTATCTACTTGCACTTTGATGTGCTTTCGAACTGCTAGGTTGGCAGGAGCAGGGACCGAGCAACGGGAGCTCACCCTGTCGCAGGGATTCGAACCGCCGACCTTTTGATCGGCAAGTCCTAGGGTCTGTGGTTTAACCCACAGCACCACCCGCGTCCCTTCTACTTCGTTTCAAATAATTTTTTAAGTTTGTAAACTTAGTATGCAATTGGGCTAGTTTAATTTAAAAGAACTCAAATGAAGTGTAAACTAATTCATTATACTTGCACTTAGGTCTTCACTGGGATCTTCACTGCAGAAATGGTCCTCAAGATAATAGCCATGGATCCTTATTACTATTTCCAAGAAGGCTGGAATATTTTTGATGGCATCATTGTCAGCTTGAGTTTGATGGAGCTGGGTCTTGCAAATGTGGAAGGGTTGTCAGTCCTAAGATCCTTCAGACTGGTAAATGTGCAAGCAGTACAACACAAGTTTTCACATAATTTCCAGTATTTATAGGCAGAATGCAATATTGGCTTCGGCGTATTTGAAAGAAACTGAGATCAAACTTTTTTACTGCTTTGAATTTAATAGTTGAATTTAATGTTGAGGCAGGTGATTAGCTGTGGGAGGAGCTTATCCGAGCTTGCAGGGCAGCAGTTGGAGAAGGAGCAAAAAGGGTTTTCTTGTGTGTGTGTGTTTCTTTGTGGCTGATTAGCTGCTCTAAAGGTCAGAGGGGGCAGGGTTTCTGTTGAGGCAGGTGATTAGCTGTGGGAGGAGCTTATCAGAGCTTGCAGGGCAGTTTGATCCATCTTTTAGATTTAGGGGAGCTAGTCTCAAACGTTTGTTGGGGGAGACCTAGGTTTTTTGTGGGGAGTTATTTGTCCTGTCTTCATGCTTTTTATGATGGAGGACCGCTGTAGCCACCCCCAACGACACGTTCTCAAGATGGAGGGGAGGGAACAGCTGCAGTCGCCTGCGGTTCCTGCGCAATGTTTGCCATCTTGCCAAAGGTTGCAGGCAGCTTTACCTGCAGCAATTGCATGTTGATTGCCCTCTTAAAAGACAAAGTCCAGCAACTGGAGGAACGTGTAGCTACGCTCCAAAGAATTAGAGAGCTGGAGCTCTTCTTGGAAGCAACAGAGCACACTGTCTCCACCAAGGAGGAGACAGGGGACTCCCTGAGAAGGAGGCTAGTTCACCAACACAGGAGCCAGATATATGGAGAAACATGACTCAAAGAAGTAGGAGGCCCAGGGTTCGCTCTGATTGTTTAGAAATACACAATCGCTTTGAGGTCCTCTCCCTAGCATGGAAGACGAAGAGCAGACTCCATTTGAGGATCTCTCCCTCATTACAGTCGATCAGGTATATGAAGATGAGCAGCAAAGTCAGTCCTCAGGGAACGTGCAGGCGACCTTGGAACGGACAGCTCATGGAAGAACCCCGACCAAACCTAAGAGGAGGCGTGTAGTGGTGATAGGAGATTCCCTACTGAGGGGAACAGAAGCAGTGATCTGTGGGCCTGACAAGATGTCTCAGGAAGTGTGCTGTCTCCCCTGGGCTAAGATCCAAGATGTAACTGAACAACTGCAAGGAATCATAAAACCCACTGACAAATACCCCTTCCTCTTGGTTCATGTGGGAACCAATGACACTGCAAGCAATAGCCTCCAGAAGATCAAAAGAGACTACGAGGCTCTGGGCAGGAAATTGAAGCAATTAAATGCACAAATTGTCATCTCATCTGTCCTCCCAGTTGAACGACGTGGCCCAGGGAGAGATGGGAAAATAGTGGAAGTGAACAGCTGGCTTCGCTAATGGTGTAAACAGGAACGGTTTGGATTCTTAGATCACGGACTGCAGTTTCTTGAAGATGGACTTCTGGCAAGCGATGGGCTGCACCTCACAACGGTTGGGAGAAATGTTTTTGCCAAAAATCTCAGAAACCTCATCAGGAGGGCTTTAAACTGACTAATGTGGGGGAGGGAGACAGTGCTCCTGAAGGTAGGAGTCTATCAATTGATGAAGATGATCATCCGAATGTCATAGACCAAATGGAGCAAACAGCACACAGACCTAGTGGTGGGAGGAAAAAAGCCTTAAATAAGAGACACGGGGGAATGATTAATGGACTTCAATGTCTGTACACTAATGCGCAAAGCATGGGAAATAAACAAGATGAGCTTGAGCTCTTGGTACAGCAAACTAAATATGACATAATAGGCATCACTGAAACCTGGTGGGATAAGTCCCACGATTGGAATGTAATAATGGGGGGATACAATCTATTTCAGAGAAACAGAACAGACAAGAAAGGAGGAAGAGTGGCGTTATATGTCAGGGATGTGTATACCTGTGAAGAGATCCAAGATTTAGAACCTCAAAGCCAAAGTGAGAGCATTTGGGTCAAAATTAAGGGAGAGAAGAATAACAGTGACCTCATTGTGGGAGTTTACTATAGATCCCCAAGCCAAACGGAGGACATAGATGATGCCTTCCTGGAACAGATGGCCAAGCATGCAAAAGGAAGGGAGATAGTAGTAATGGGGGACTTCAATTACCCGGATATTTGTTGGATGTCAAACTCAGCCAAGAGCATAAGGTCAAACAGATTCCTCACTGGCCTTGCAGACAACTTCATTGTCCAGAAAGTGGGAGAAGCAACAAGAGGAACAGCCATTTTAGATCTGGTCCTAACCAATGTTGATGACCTGGTTAGTGGGGTAGAAGTGGAAGGATCATTAGGCGCGAGTGATCATGCTCTTCTGAAGTTTACTATACAGCGGAAAGGAGCAGCCAAGCATACTAGGACTCAATTTCTTGACTTTAAGAAAGCCGACTTCATAAAACTTAGGGAAGTGCTGGGTGAGATCCCATGAACAGTAATACTAAAAGGAAAGGGAGTTCATGATGGCTGGGAGTTTGTTAAGAGGGAGATAGTAAAAGCACAACCTCAGGCAATACCAATGAGACGGAAACATGGAAGGTGCCTAAAGAAGCCAGGGTGGCTATCTAAAGAACTTTTAACTGAGTTAAGATTTAAAAAGGATGTGTACAAAAATGGAAAAGGGGGGAAACCACCAAAGAGGAATTCAAACAAATAGCCAGCACGTGTAGACACAAAGTCAGAAAAGCTAAAGCACAGAATGAACTCAGGCTTGCTAGAGAGGTTAAAAGCAACAAAAAAGGCTTTTATGGGTATGTTCGTAGCAAAAGGAAGAACAAAGAAACAGTGGGGTCACTCAGAGGATAAAATGGTGAAATGCAAACAGGGGACACAGAAGGGGCTGAACTCCTCAATGCCTTCTTTGCCTCAGTCTTCTCCGATAAAGAAAACAATGCCCGACCTGAAGAATTTGGAGCAAATGATTCAGCAAAGGAAACACAGCCCAGAATAACTAAGGAGATAGTACAAGAATACTTGGCTAGTTTAGATGTATTCAAGTCTCCAGGGCCAGATGAACTGCATCCAAGAGTATTAAAAGAACTGGCAGATGTGATCTCAGAACCACTGGCAGTCATCTTTGAGAATTCCTGGAGAACAGGCGAAGTCCCGGCAGACTGGAGGAGGGCAAATGTTGTCCCTATTTTCAAAAAGGGAAAAGAGAGGACCCAAATAATTACCGCCCAGTCAGTCTGACATCAATACCAGGGAAGATTCTGGAGCAGATCATTAAGCAAACAGTCTGTGAGCACCTAGAAAGGAATGCTGTGATCACCAATAGTCAGCATGGATTTCTGAAAATTAAGTCATGTCAGACTAACCTGATCTCGTTTTTTGACAGAATTACAAGCCTGGTAGATGAAGGGAACGCAGTGGATGTAGCCTACCTTGATTTCAGCAAGGCATTTGACAAGGTGCCCCATGATATTCTTGTAAAGAAGCTGGTAAAATGCGGTCTTGACTATGCTACCACTCAGTGGATTTGTAACTGGCTGACTGACCGAACCCAAAGGGTGCTCATCAATGGTTCCTCTTCATCCTGGAGAAGAGTGACTAGTGGGGTGCCACAGGGTTCTGTTTTGGGCCCGGTCTTATTCAACATCTTTATCAACAACTTGGATGATGGACTCAAGGGCATCCTGATCAAATTTGCAGATGACACCAAACTGGGAGGGTGGCTAACACCCCAGAGGACAGGATCACACTTCAAAACGACCTTGACAGATTAGAGAACTGGGCCAAAACAAACAAGATGAATTTTAACAGGAGAAATGTAAAGTATTGCACTTGGGCAAAAAAATGAGAGGCACAAATACAAGATGGGTGACACCTGGCTTGAGAGCAGTACATGTGAAAAGGATCTAGGAGTCTTGGTTGACCACAAACTTGACATGAGCCAACAGTGTGACACGGCAGCTAAAAAAGCCAATGCAATTCTGGGCTGCATCAATAGGAGTATAGTATCTAGATCAAGGGAAGTTATAGTGCCACTGTATTCTGCTCTGGTCAGACCTCACCTGGAGTACTGTGTCCAGTTCTGGGCACCACAGTTCAAGAAGGACACTGACAAACTGGAACGTGTCCAGAGGAGGGCAACCAAAATGGTCAAAGGCCTGGAAACGATGCCTTATGAGGAACGGCTAAGGGAGCTGGGCATGTTTAGCCTGGAGAAGAGGAGGTTAAGGGGTGATATGATAGCCATGTTCAAATATATAAAAGGATGTCACATAGAGGAGGGAGAAAGGTTGTTTTCTGCTGCTCCAGAGAAGCGGACACGGAGCAATGGATCCAAACTACAAGAAAGAACAGTAGGAAGAACTTCCTGACAGTAAGAGCTGTTTGACAGTGGAATTTGCTGCCAAGGAGTGTGGTGGAGTCTCCTTCTTTGGAGGTCTTTAAGCAGAGGCTTGACAACCATATGTCAGGAGTGCTCTGATGGTGTTTCCTGCTTGGCAGGGGGTTGGACTCGATGGCCCTTGTGGTCTCTTCCAACTCTATGATTCTATGATTCTATAAGTATCGCTTGTGAAATTTGTTAACTGATTAGTAACTCCACCATGTTCCCTGAATTCATGCTTTAATCTAGTCTATAAAACAAATGTCATTCCAAAAGGATTTGACACATATACCAAATGTGAACTGATGGCTACTGTAGAAATGCTAATTGCAATGGAAAAAAATATGTGAATGCAGTTATAAATGCTCAGTATGTGGCCTGTTTCTCATTCATTTCCTAAATTCCACTAAATGTATATAAGCAGTTTGTTCCTCCTTCTCTCTCTAAATTTTGACCAACTGTATTACGTTTTCATTTCTGAAGCTAAAAGACAAAACACATGGAGAAGTATTTTGAGTAGTAATGATAATGTCTTATTGTTATTGTTTTCCAGCTCCGGGTTTTCAAATTAGCAAAATCCTGGCCGACGCTAAATATGCTGATCAAAATTATCGGCAACTCTGTGGGAGCTTTGGGAAATCTGACCTTGGTCCTGGCCATCATTGTCTTCATTTTTGCCGTGGTGGGCATGCAGCTGTTCGGCAAAAGCTACAAGGAATGTGTGTGCAAGATTGCAGAAGACTGTGAGCTTCCACGCTGGCACATGAATGACTTTTTCCACTCTTTCTTGATTGTGTTCCGAGTCCTTTGCGGAGAATGGATAGAAACCATGTGGGACTGCATGGAAGTTGCAGGTCAAACCATGTGCCTCATTGTGTTCATGCTGGTCATGGTGATTGGAAACCTCGTGGTATGTAAATCAGGCTTTTTGAAAAGTATTAGGATGTCCAATAAACGCTGTTTTGTAGAAAAATCACTAGGCCAGAGTTTGACTCTGGGTCCTTATTAAGCTTTGCATTGTATTAATATGAATGGTTTTACAAGGCTAGTTTTCTTAGAAGAACAAGTTGGCCACAGAAGAAAAATATGTTATTCTAGTTTGCCATGAGAAAACAGAGGAGAAACTATGTGTCAGAACAGAAGTGCTTCTCTATCTATGCACATTATGTTTTAGAAAAAATGCAGCTGTACATAGCATCTTCCTGATATAAGCTGAGAAACTTGTGTTTTAAAACAAAGCGGTCTATTGATTGGCCCACTGTGTGTGTCTCCTTTCTCCTCCTCCTCCTCCTCTTCCTTTGTTGATCTTCTTTTTCTGTACAATAGAAACCTGTATTGGTTTTGTTCTTTCCCCCACCTTTTAGGTACTGAACCTCTTTCTGGCCTTGCTTCTGAGCTCCTTTAGTTCAGATAACCTCGCTGCTACTGATGACGATAACGAAATAAACAATCTTCAGATTGCTGTGGCAAGAATTCAAAAGGGAGTAGATTATGTAAAGAAAAAATTACGAGAGGTTGTCGAAAAAGGCGTTGTCAGGAGGCAGAAAGCTGTGGAGGATATCAAAGCGCTCGAAGAACTAAGCAACAAGAAAGACAACTACATTTCCAACCATATGATGGTTGAAATAACTAGAGACGTTAATTACCTGAGAGATGGGAATGGAACCACAAGTGGTGTGGGCACAGGCAGCAGTGTGGAAAAATACATTATTGATGAAAATGATTATATGTCATTCATAAATAATCCAGGCCTTACTGTGACTGTACCAATGGCAGTTGGAGAGTCGGATTTTGAAAATATAAATACAGAGGAATTTAGCAGCGAATCTGAAATTGAAGAAGGCAAAGAGGTAGGATTTTATACACACACACACACACACACACACACACATATATACACAAGCACATGTGAAATGAAGCTGAAAACTAATGAAAAATACAATTTTGAATGTATTTTATTGACATTGTCGTATTTATGTCTCTGCACATGTAGCAGTGCTGCAAGATTAGGCAGTTCTTACTTCATAGCAACCTTCTTACTGCTTATTAGTTCCTTTCTTATTGTAAGCGTGTGTTTGGTTTACAATGGTGACATTTCTCCCATGGTGTGAAATTTTGAATGTGTGGGGGTCATGGTGCATGAGGAGGTGACTGTTAATTTCCCTTATCAGCTATGAGCCCACCCTGAAAATTCCCTCACAGATAATTTAAAAATACACCTACTAGGGCCAATAGGAGGTGATTCCCCCCAAGCCTTACAGGGGAAAGGGCAAGGAGAGGGGGATGGGGGCTGAATGGGGAGACCCTACAGGTTGAATCAGACCTATGGACTAACTTACTCCTGATGGGCTTACTCCTGGTGTCAACAGTGCTGAGCTAGATGGAGCTATAGCCAGTATAAGACAGCTTCCTATGTCCCCATGTTCTCTTGCACATGAGAGTCTTGCAACTCACCTTTCATGCTCTGCTATGCAGTAGCAACAGAACATCAGGTTGAATGGTAGAAGAGCTCGCCTCATCAGAGAAGGTGAAAGCTCAGGGAAGGTGTCTGTAAGGGTGTAGAGGAGTTGGAGTCAATAATGCCCCCTTGCCACACACCTCAAGTTCCTTAGAGCATTCCCCCTGGAAGCTGGTATTTAAAAAGCTGAACAAAAGTGGGGTGTGGGGGGGGGAGAGAGAGACTGTTAACTTAGATGTAAAAAAACAGCTCTGCCCTGCTTTCCTCACATCCGTGCTAATGGGAAACGACTGTTCAGACTATCACTGAAGCCTAAAAGAAAATGTAAAGTGGTTTTGAGGAAAACCGCACTAGGCAGAGGCCTACGGGAATGGGCTGGCCAGGATCCAAACCCTTCATGTGCAAACAGAAAGTGTGTCTCATCCACACATAGGAATACGTGTGTGAGAGAGAGATAATTTGAGTAGCAGCCCTTCGCACCTCATGGAGTGCTGTTCTGGGGGACCTTAAGCTTGGAGGAGTTTCAAGGTGCTTCCCATGAAGGAACAGAGAACTACATCTAAGTACTTGGGATTGCAGCTGTGCTGAATAATCCTTGAAGCACTTTACTTGATAGATTGCTACCGAAACATCAAGTATTCAAGTTCTTGAGTATTATTTAGTCACCTATATGAGTACTCCAGAAAAGATGCAAACAAAACTTTTTATGGAAGGGAATAAAATGACACAAATTCAGGAAAAATGAAATCTGGACATCTATTTAGGTTCTGTGGTGATCTTGCCTTGGAAATGTATGGTTTTCATTGGGAAAAGCTTTAAAGTATGGCATTTCCTATTTTAGACAGAAGTATCTCTTTTCGTCCCAATCTCTTGCTTCCATAGACTTGATTCTTCTTATATGCAGGATTTGTAGTTTTTACTACTGACTGATTAAATACTTGGTTTGGCGACGTGCACAATTATTGACAAGTATTTATTAGAGCTGGCTGTATTCAGTGGGTCATCTTGACATCAAAAAATTTATTTGATTCCAGCATGAGTCAGAATGGCCAAAGAAATGATCTGCTAACATTATTACAAACTGCTATCTAATGTGACAATAATCTCAGTGAGTGGCATTGATGAATAGAAAACATAAATGAAGCCTAGCCAAATGAAGAATACATCCTACTTTATAGAGGGCAGCCCTCTATTTGAAATGTTGTCAGAGGACACTCCTCTGTTTCAAGGCAACCTCTGTTTGAATGCCTATCTGGTCCAAGTCTCATTTTAAAATATTAAGGCATTGGTTTGCATCAAATTTGCAAATAATGTAAGTAAAAATCCAACAAAATCTCACCAAAATGGGGAATTCCTTTGGCCAGTTGTGCAAATAGCTATTAAATGTTGCTAAACCTTTCACCAGCAATTCTTTATGGTGTGTTCTGGAAGCACTGGACATTTTTTAAAAATAAGATTATCTTTTAAAGTTTCAAAGCCAAAATGGTTTTTGTGCATTTGTATGCTGTATAATTTACTCTTACAGCTCTCTCTCTCTTTTACCTGTACTCAATAATTTCTTGTAGTGGTTTTTTAACCAGTTATGTAACATTTATAAGAAGTGCACCACCAATTCCTTCCTCTAGACTATTCTCTCCATCATTCCTTTTCTTGTCATTAGATCTTTGGTCTTCTGGTCTTGAAGTACTATAGTTAAATGAATACATTGACTGGTTGAGAGCTGGGTTCACTTTCTTACCCAGTGACACTTCACCTGTTATTAGTAGTTTTGATTTTGATTTTTTGAAAGGATATTTGTTTCCTAATACCTGGCTGAGAATATATTCTGTGCAGCTTGTTTTATTTATTTTCAAAATTTGCAATTTTATTTATCTTAAATTGGAGCGTAACTGTGTCCCAAACTAATGGAAGTGTTTCTCCTTAATAGAAGCAATGTTGCTTTCTTCTTCTTTTCAGCTGTGTGGCTCAAAACCTTGAGGGTTGTGCAGGAGCATAACTTGCAAGATTCATACAATAGAAAGAGACACATTTAGTTTCACACATTCATTCCTCAGGCCCCTCCCCTGGAATTTTCATAATTAAGGTCAAGGGGAAGCCTGTCGAATTGAGAAGCTCCAGGACATCTTTGCAGAAAAGATCTGAAACAACAGCCCTTCCCTCAAAAAAGGAACAGCAGAGGTCTCAGTTACTGAGGAAAACAAACTTCTTGCCATTTCTATCTTTTTTCTGTCTTTGGTTCATCAGATCCTTCTGCAAGCTATTGATTACAGTGTAAAATGCAGAATGGTTAAGAAACCAGAAAGGAGAATAGAATAAGCCTTTTCTCTTTATGCTAAATAATACATTAATTTAGGCTGTAGTCCAAGAGACCACTGATGATGGACAGACCATTTTTTAACAAGTGACACTTAATATATTTCTGGATTAAAATAGGAATCCTGACAAAGGGGAGATCACATTGCAGAAGAAGGAGCTTTGCCAGATCAAAATGTTCCAGAACAGGGGCATCGTGGTTCTTGTTTTAACAAAGTAATAGAAATCTAGGATGTCTCCCACTCCCCCCCAAAAACAAGTTGCCTGTCACATTAGAATGAAGAACTTCACTTAAATAGTTGTGCTCCTGTGCGTGCTTATTTGCAGTAAATTCCAATTTAACTCAGAGAGACTTGCTTCTGAACGCTCATGTGTATATTGAGCTTTAAGCTCACAAAGGGCTGGCTCCAGTCAACTTTGGAGAGGAGCTCTCAAACTCAGTCTCCTAACACCAGCACTTTTCCTTGCCATAGCTGGCTCGCCTGGGGAGGAAGAGTGAATTTAAGTGGGGGGAAAGAAGGCCCAGTGTCCATAGTTGGCTCAGTGGTCCGGTTCTCCTGGCTGATCCCTACAACGCCAGCTGCTGATTGTGGATCCAGACTCATGCTTCAGAAGGAAGAAGGGAGGGGTACATAATCCCAGGATCCTCTCCTGATCTCTTAACCATAGTTTAACAACTGTAGGTGATACATCACCAGCACATGAAACAAAACAAAGTAGCTGTGACTGCTAATCCTTCTTCATAGTGATCCCTGTTACTCTGATTATGCACACATAGACCATGTGGGGAATCTGTGGCCTTCCACTTGTTGTTAGACTACAACTCCCACCATTCTTGACCATTGGCCATGCTGGGTGGTGATGATGGGAGTTAGATCATGACAATATCTAGAAGGCTGCAGATTCACTGGCCCTGATGTAGAAGATTCTTAAGGATGTAAACTGAATTCTGCAACCAGCCAGTTATCTGTATATACCTTTTCTTGCAAGTTTGATAATGATATCTTTAGCTCTCTTTCTCTCTTCCCCCCCCCCTTCCTGAAAATGTACTAAAGCCATGTCTGAATGCTAGCCTCCAAAGAGCAAAAGACTGGAGGTACTATGTCATGAACTTCATTGCCTGCCATTCTTACTTCTCACAGGGGTAAAACCAAGCAGGAGCAATCAAGAAGGCAGCTCTGGTCCTTTTTAACCAGGTAGATTCAACGTACCGCCACTCTTGCACAGGTTACCTAAGCAAGTTATACATACATAATCACACTTTTCTGGTGAATATTGACTGGCCTGCATGCTACCGAGCTATGTTTCCTTCCCTGCCCATTGCAAGATGGTCTAGACATGCACAGCTGCTCTCTGCTGAGTCCTGTGACTCACACATCACAGCATGGTCAGGCAAGATTGGCAACCCCAACATACATTTTGATTCTGCTAATGACTTTTCTAGATGTATTTGATTATCAAGTCCTTTCAATAGCTACTGCATGACCTATAGGTTTTGTAAGATGGATCATGAACTGACAAGAATGTTGAACTCTCCAAAGGCCAAGGGGGAAAAAGGGAGCATGCATAGTTTTTAAAAACAATAAAAACAACCCTTTTTGATTCAGCCCTTATAAATGTGGCACATATTTAATAGTCTTCTTCCGAAGGGGACGGCGACGCGTTAAATGAATATAATTTCCGATTTTAATTGCTTCTTGGGTTTCTCTGTTCTATCTATCTATCTATATACATACACATCTTTCTTGAACTGTTCTTTCAAGGTGTTGTCATGCACGGTTCTCTAAACCTAATACAATTCCTCTAGAATTTGTTTGAGGATTTTCATATATATATTATGATTCGGTTCAGACTATAGGAAAAAAAGTAGTCATGGGCAGAGCAATTGTATGAGGGAGAGAGAATCTATGGTTGGAAGAACAGCCAAAGCACTCTCAATCTAGCACCAAGCAAGGCAGTAGGTGGAGAGGTTGGAGAGGAAATAAATATGCCAGCTCCCAGGCTGACATATTTCCCTTCCATGTCAGAGGTGGGATTGGGATCTGCCCTGATCCACCCATTTTCTCTCCCTGTTTGTGCTGGAGCATTAATAGCAGAAGGGGGATGGTTGTGGAGGTTTCCATGGACACCACAAGGAAGGTTCCAGGGCAAACCTGCTTCCTCTCTGCCATTGGAGAGGGACATCTTCTGTATCCTATGGTTGCTGGGATACCTCCTGGGGATTACTGGATTGTACCCTCATTGTTGTTTCTTTTTAAAAATATATATAAAAAATATCTTTATCAAACAATGCATTTAAAACAAAGAAACAAACCAAAAGGGGTACATGTTTTCTGATCAATTATTTGATTTTGATATTGGATATTAATAGTGGTAAAACAGAATAAATGCCAAATTCAAACCAATAATTCATATTTGTTCTTCAGAAAATGCTCTATAGTCAATCTTATGCTTTTAAAATTCCCAGAACATTTGCTTTAATTTTTTTTAAGCAAACATTTATCCAAAAAAGTGATACTTCTGCAGTCAGAGTGATGCTTGCTGTTCCACTTCAGAAGGTTTCAGTGGCAGCTGCCAGGCAAGCAGCAAGTGCAGAGATGGTTGGCTGCATCCTTGCCTTTAACAATAAGATGTTAAAAGCTGTGGTAATAATGAAATCACAAGATGTTATAATATTGCGGAGTTTGTACTAGCCACTGAGCTTTCACACTTATTCACAAATGAGTTAGAACTCTAAAAACAACTTGATTTGTTCAGGTTTTAATCTTCTCTGATCCTCAAAAGTAGGTAATAGCCAATTAAAAAAAATAATTAAAGTCAAAATAAAGTGACTAATTCTGCTATTGACATATTGCTGTTCACTAACAGACAGGTCAAATAAAAGCAAAAAAAGTATTTGATGAGACTCCTGGGCTAGGCGGCGGTACCACACAGAATGCCTTTCTGAGTGGTTTGCTGTCCAAAACAGACTACATCTGCTGCAGGGATCTGCATCCCCATATCAACATTCCCCATTACCTGGCCATATCTTTTACTGTGGGAGTGAATTCCCTCCTGCCCAGAGGTAGAGAAACGCATTACATAATGGTCCAGTTCATGCAATGCGTTCTCCTAGACCAGGGATGTCCAACTTCCAAGAGACTGCGATCTACTCCCACTATAATAACACTGGCAGTGCTCTACCCTTTGGATTAACCAAAGTTGTTGAGCTTTCTTGGGGGAGACCCATTTTTTTGCAAATTGATTTACTCTCCGTTTTTGGTTATACGAATCCTACCTTTTGGCAATGCAATAACTGGCCATCCTGATCAGTGCGCTATTGGTAAACTTAAGAAAGACATTAAGAAATCATTTTAAGCAAATTGTTGAGGACTGCTTTCTTGGAGTATAAAACACAAATATTGTCAGGCTGCAGTTCAGGAAGAGGCTTTTGGTTGAAGGGGTGAGAAACATTTAATTTGTTGTCTTACTCTCTATGCAACTAAAACCTTTTTTAAAAAAAAATCAGAAATGTGACTGAATTGTAAAAGAAAATGAGAATTATTTATCTGAGAGTTTGTCAAGTCTCAGGGCAATGCTCAAACCATATCTCAAGCTGACTTATCCCTGATAATTTATAATGGCTGAATCCCTTTGTTTATTTTACTGTCACCTGAATCATGAAATGGTTTGTAAAGCTTTTAACATTTGTATAACGGCCTGCTCCTGCTCCCATTGAAACAGTGTCCAGCGAAAAGCAAATGAGAGCAAGACCGGGCTTTAAGTGAATGCTTTAACAATGGAAATGAGCCCCATTAACATGCTGTTGGGCAAAGCTTGTGTTGATTATTCTTTTGTGTGTGGGCAAAAAAACCAAGAGCTGTGCTCAAATCCAAAAGAGGCTGCTAAAGTGGTTGTCCTATTGCTACCTACTCCTATTTAGATGATAACTGCTGCGTACTATCCAATGTTTTATGATTCCAATTATTTTTTTTCCATATCATCTTTTTTTTTTAAAAAAAGAAGAAGGTGGGTTTCTGCTTTTCTTGGTGCAGTTTCACTAGTATTGCACAGGCTTCTGCTCTAGTCAAGCATGTTGTTTTGCTGATTCAGGCCTTGGGAATGCTGCATCATCAACAAATGCTTTCCAATGTGTTCCTTGCGGGTAATATGATGTTCCCTCCCTAGTGGTGTACAGCGGTGACCTTTGAGAGGTCTCTAATGGAAAACGGGCTGGTAACATCTTGTCAAAGGGTTCGGTTTTAAAAAAACGCAAAAGTAATTGTGTAAGTCAGGGATGGGGAAGCTGTGCCATAGCAAATGCTGCCGGACCAAATCTCCCAACGCACCTGACGATCCGACATGCTGGCTGGAGCTTCTGGCGGTTGGGAGTCCAACAACTTCTAGAAAGCCACAGGATTCCCATCCCGGGTATAAGTTATATGAGGATGTTTTTCCTAGTTTGCTTGTTTGAATAAGAATGCTCATCAGAGGAGAGATACCTGTTGTTCTTTTAAATTTAAATTACGGTATCAGGATTTTAATTCTTTTAAATGTAGCATGAATTGTATAATTGGCTAGAATTATTAGAGTTGTTTAAACTTGGGTCTGATTCTGTTGTTTAAGGATGCGCTATAGCCAGTTTAAAAAAAAATGCTCACCTTGACCTGGTTCATAGATAACAAAGAATCATTATTCCCCACTTTACAGATGAGTCGTGGCATGCCTCAGGCTTGTGAACTTCCCATTTGACAATTCTCACCTTTCTTACAGGGAATTTTCAGTGTTGAACTAACCACAGTTCCCTGTGACATCCAAGTTCAGGGAACCATAGTTTGTTCCATCTGTGTTTTCAGAACAACACAGAAACTGAAATCAAGGTTTGTTCTCACCACACTTTTAATGTATGCCATGGAGAGCTGTGGTTTGTTTAAAACTAGAAGCGAAGGCATCTGATCTTTCGGTGCAAAGGAGCAGGAGAAGGGAGTGGGGAGTGCATGAGCCCAAGATTCACCATAGCTCATTCACGAAGCAGTAAACCATGGTATCCTGTTACATCTAAACCAGGCTATTCAGTTTGGGTGGTTGCAGATTTTGCATTAAGTTATGGTTTCAATTTAAATTGTGTAATATCAGATGAATAATACATGGATTGGTTTAATATAGCTGTTCAAGTTGGGAGGCATTTTGCTTTCAATATACCCAACTAAATGAAACGCAAATCCTCCTCGCTGTGTGCTGAAGAAATCTTCACTGTGATCACTTGCAAATTTTTCTCTGAGCTAGCCTTTAAAATTGCATTGGCAGGAAGGAATGAGCCTTTAAAAATGTGTATCAATTAAGAAATGTGACTTAATACAAAAGGAGCTCTTAAAACTTCCTTTCTTGCTTAAAGTAGGATCAGTATGCTTACAGTCAAGGTATGTTTTGTTTTATCTGTTAGGAAATAATATCTGCTGTTCCTGCTATGTTTGACTATTAAGTCCTATCCAACTGGGGAAGGAGAGGTAGGAAGCACATGCAGCTGGGGGATGATCATATTGAATTTAAAAAGGGAATAAAGTAAAGTACATTCACATATTTTACAAACGACACGTTGTAAAGATGGTGTTGCTGTAATGCCAACTGAGAAATCAGTTTATGGGATATACAAATATATATTGTTAAGCATATATGCCATTGCAAATTTAAAACAATGGCGTTTGAGTTTGATTGCAGACATAAACACGATTCTGCAATGGACAGTTGTGAAAACCCAAATGCCAGTTTCTTCATCCCCCAGTTAAAGTAAGTAGCTGGAAACGTGCTAATACAGAAGTAACCAAACACTGAAGTTTACTTTCTGACAAACATATTGTTACTCACATTACTTCAGACTTTATACTAAATGAGTTGGCCATATGCAGTTCTGCTCACCCCTCCCCATTTGTGTAATGTCTGAATAGGACTGCAGCCTAAACATTCAAACCCAGAGACTGAATGGGTTATTTACTTGTATAAAGGCATGGTTGATTTTACTACTTATCGGTAATCTATCATCTTGGTTCTCATATTTAGTCTCATATTTTAAACTTAATTTGTTTCAGCAAGCTAACTACTGGAGAATTCTTCCTGGTTTTTTAATTTGCCTAACAGCAAAATGCATCCAGATTAATTCAAAAATGTCATGCTCAAATTCTCAAGTGATGTAATTCTGTAAAAGCTCAGTTTTAGTCAGCTTCTTCACAGCACAAAATCAGTAAAATTACATATTCTTCACCACCACTTAAGGAATTGCACCATCAGGGCCAAGTTAGACATGATGCCATTCATGTAATTAGCAATTACAAAGAGGGCATGAATAATTACTTTATGTAGCCACATAGGTTTCCAGCTCAAAGAATTCCTTTTTGTATTTTAATATGATACAGAAATATATATGCATAATCCTCCCTTTGACATGTCAGTACTATTGCCAAACAAATTGCTTTAACAAACTTAGATCAACCTTTGTTTAATTTGCTAAGAATATAGGTCAGGATTTCTAGTGTTAGTGCAAACTGTGTAACATTGAACAGTTTGATATTATTGGTAATTGTTTTTGCTTTTTACATAATATTTCATAATGTTTTAAAGGGTGTCAGTATAACAATTATTTAAAGTTGAAGAGTGAATTTCTAATGAAACTATTTCAGAACATGCTAATGTTAACATTGAAAAAGCTGTTCCAAATATAACACATGAGGATGCATAAATATAGGACAAATTCACAAGTTGTCCATCAGATGCTGATCTAGTGAAAGATGTTCCTTTGCCAGGATAGCATAACCATACAGTTGCCAATTTTGAACTGAATGCCTCTGAGCATGCACAGAGAGTCCCCTCTCCCAAAAGGGGGAAACAACAGAATGGGAATTTATAAACAACTGCCTGGAACAACTTTCCTGTTGGACACAATATAAATAAGCAAGCAAGGGACCAACTGATCAAACCCCCACTGGCAGATTGCTGGGAAAATCTGAAGCCTCCCATATTAAATAGCAGGTCTAATGATATTACACTGGCCGTGGCAAAGTTTCTTTCAGAAGTAAAAAGAAACAAAGATAATCAAGTTAGAGACAAAACAAAATGACTGCTTCGGTTTCTCTCTCTTTCGTGGTTGGCTGTCTTGGCTGTATTTTGTTCTGAAATTGTTCTATGGGTCTTTGGACCGTGATAAAGATTCATTATAATATAAATAATGTGCTAAACTCGCTGCCACTGCACTGCAAAACTTGCCAAGTGCCCGTCTACTTACAGAGTTTATATGGGCAAAGTCTCTTGAGCATGTGCAGTATAATTTTCTGTCTGAAGTTGTAAAATGTAATTTGGTATTTTATACATTTTGGTTCAGTCTGGCTGCCTAGAACAGTGGTGCCTCCAATGGGTGCTTCATTCAGTGAGAGACAGCATGTCACAAAACGCCAGGCAGACACTCAATAGTGGGGGAAAGCTTTCCTCATGCTTGACGGCTGGTTGGCTGCCTTACCTGTTTAGTGGTGGCCAGGAACCTTGTGTTCATCCTTAAACGGTGCTGTTTCTGGGCAGATGGCAATGTGGCAGTGTAGGGCACCCGGATCTACATTAAAATGCAAATTCCCCCCACACATAGATGCATATAATATCCATATGTTGTGGTAACTCACACCAGCACACTGACATAACTCAGCTAGATTTTTGTGTGGCTGCATGAAAACAAGCAACCATGAAAATCCAATTCTGGCTGGGTTTCCAAAATTATTATGGCAGAGTAGCAGCCTATTTTAATAATAGCTGGATAATAATAATAATAATAATAATAATAATAATAATATATGGAGTCCTACAGTAAATAGCAGGGTTATTTTAACATTAATTTGCTAGTTTACTCTTCTTCTGAAGTTAGTAAAGAAACTTTGGACAACAGGCTATTTTCTATCATTTCTCTCTTTAGTGGTCCAGTTTTTCTTGAGTGAGTGGGTGAGGAATTAACAACAAACACACCTAAATTTAATATAATACAATGAAGGAGTTTGCAAATAGTTATCCAGCCCCATTTATTTCGGAATTCCTATACACCGTTGCTTTTCTACAACATAAGGAAATACTCAGGCTTATTATGAGAAAGGGGAAACACAGTTTGACTAGCATGCTTTTATTTGCATTAAAAACAAAACAAGCAAACTTAGGCTGCAATCCTATACCCAAGTTACCGAGAAAGGAGTAAACCCATTGAACTCAATGGGGCTTCCTTCCGAGTTGACATAGATAAGAATTTGTGGTTCCATCTGCTATGCACTGCCAATATAAATTTGGAAGAGCGCTGTCATACTTCACTATCTCCTTTTGAGTACGGCATAAAGTTGCAGGGGGCAAAAAACCTTTTTTTCTGTGGGATTTTATTTTCAGAAGTTAAATGCAACCAGCTCTTCAGAAGGCAGCACAGTTGATATTGCCCCGCCTGGAGAGGGTGAACAGGCAGAGATTGAACCTGAAGAGGCTCTTGAACCTGAAGCCTGTTTTACAGAAGGTAACAGGGAAACAAAATAAACAAGTTGTGTTTGACAAATTAACTGTGGACTGCAGTTTTGCTGTGGCACAGCTTGCCACCATTGCCAAGATTCTTTCTCTGCTTCCAGCAGCTGGCAGGATACAAGGTGGGATTTTGAATTTAACCCACCTGTGAAATTGACCGATCACGGGTTGGCTCAGGAGGCTGCTGACATAGTGGGGGCAGAGATGGCCATAGACTCTGCGGGGTCTTCATTCAGGTCCGCTTCCCAGGCATAAATGTAGGGCCACCTTCTTGCCTTTCATTGCAGTTGGATTTCAGATCTCCTTCCCCGCCCCCCTCCCTTTATTCAGAGTATTTTCATCATACAGTCTTTGCTTGGTTCCTTGCTATAGAAGTTTTTGGTCGGCATATTTCAGGCCAGGAAGGAATTTTGCCTCCAGACAAATTTGCTGGTCTTTGGGTGGGGGTGGGGGGTTGCTTGCCTCATAGCAACTGTCACAACTTGGGTGGATAAGGCATTGGTCTAAACTCCCTAGTCTTGAACGGTGGGGAGGGGTTGAACATATTTGCACACCCCCCCCAAAAAAACCCCTGGGTATCCCTATAAAGGGATCCTAAGGAGAGTGTTACTGTCAGCACACATCAGTACTTCTGGATGTGGCTAATGGATTTTGGATGTGCTAGGGCTGCCATACATCTGGATTTTCCTGGACATTACCAGGATTTCAAAGGGTCTTAGACAAGTCAATTGAACAATTGAAAAATGGCAACCCTAGGATGTCCCTTTTAACATTAAGCCATAACAGCAACTATCCTCCTTCCTCACAAGGAAGGATAAAATGGGTGAACTCCATATATACAGTCCTCGACTCTGTGGAGGAAAGACTGATTTCTTTAAAATTCTGAAATAAAGATAACCATAAACATTTATTCCAAAATTTAACAATTTAATATCCTTGTAAACAGGCTGCATCAAGAAGTTCCCATGTTGTCAAGTGAGTATAGAAGATGGCCGAGGAAAAATCTGGTGGAATTTTAGGAAAACCTGCTACAGCATAGTTGAACACAACTGGTTTGAGACGTTCATTGTTTTTATGATTCTCCTCAGCAGTGGTGCTCTGGTGAGCAAAAATAAAAAATAAACACCTGCTATTTTCTCAGATTTTTCAATGGGCATTATAGAATGTATGGTGGCTAGTACAGTTACTTTCAGGTTTGGAAATGTTTGATAAATAATCATGATTCACATATATTGTAGGATAGGTGCTTAAAAAAAAACAAGAATTCCCGCTCTCTTGCTAATTGTTTGGTAATATGTTAGCAGTAGAACACGAAGCAGAAATGAAATTTTAGACCTGTGTTTTAAAAAATAAGGTTTATCTCTGTGAACGATAAAGCAATGATTCCACCCTCCTCCCTGCCCTAGGCCTTTGAAGACATATATATTGAACAGCGCAAGACTATCAAGACCATGCTGGAGTATGCTGACAAGGTCTTCACGTACATCTTCATTCTGGAAATGCTTCTGAAGTGGGTGGCCTATGGCTTTCAAATGTATTTCACCAATGCCTGGTGCTGGCTGGATTTCCTCATTGTTGATGTAAGTACTTGAAACCCATTGTTTGCTTTGCTCCTGTGCAGCCTCCTCATTATTTACATCCCAAGCCTAAAAACATTACCATAACATTAAGAATAGTAATACCGCAAAGTTGACCTGAGAGTTGGGTCCTTTGCATCTGTCTTCATGAATCTGTGTTCCAGTCATGATTATTCAGTATAACATGAGAAGTGGCCTATATCTATCCATGTTAGCAAACCAAATACAGGTGAACCATCAGTGTTGCCCTGATTTTTCCAGTTCAAGTGCCACATATTCACCGATTCATTTAAACTTTAATTGTATCACCATAAAAGCAATAACAAACCAACATTTTAAAAAGTTGGGAAACTGCTCTGGGCATGTGAAGTGGGAAGATTTTTACCTCACAGAATGTTCAAGAAATAAATTGTGCTGACATGAAGAAAAATCACCTACCATGGAACGCAAATGTCTTGTAACACAGTAACAGTCGTAAAAAAATATTATTTGTACAAAAGTTAAAAAGGACCATGCCTGCAGGCTCAAGATCTAATATATGAAAATATGTATGTGGTAAAGAACAGTAAAAGGTAAAGGTAAAGGGACCCCTGACCATTAGGTCCAGTCGTGACCGACTCTGGGGTTGCAGTGCTCATCTCGCTTTAGTGGCCGAGGGAGCCGGCATACAGCTTCCAGGTCATGTGGCCAGCATGACTAAGCCGCTTCTGGCAGTGCACGGAAACATCGTTTACCTTCCCGCCAGAGCGGTACCTATTTATCTACTTGCACTTTGACGTGCTTTCAAACTGCTAGGTTGGCAGGAGCAGGGACCTAGCAATGTTACCTGCACAGGTGGGCAGTCAGTGCGTGCTAGGCTTAACATCTGATCAAGACTATGGAGAGACCAAGGAACAGATGCTCAGTAGCCCACCCTCTTTCTGAGCACTGCCGAAAGGACCAACCACTGCTCCTGAATAGCCGCTTCAGTGAGATATGCTCAGTTGCATCTGCATATCACTCATCCTGCCACTTAACAGAAAAGTGTGTCAAAGTCATAGTGACCAAGAGGATGCAGTCTTATTAACAGCTTTTTAGGACAATGTTATTCTAAAGTCTTATATATTACCTGAGGCGGCTTTATTTTATTTGAGGCGGGCCAGAATAGATGTTTATACAGTGGTACCTCGGTTTAATTACAGTCCTGTTTACAAATGATTCGGTTTACAAACTCCACAAAACCGGAAGTAGTGTCCCGGTTTGCAACCTTTACCTCGGTCTAAGAACGGAATCCGAACAGTGGAAGGGCACCGGCGGCAGGAGGCCTCATTAGGGAAAGTGCGCCTCAATTTAAGAACGGTTTCGGTTTAAGAATGGACTTCCGAAACGGATTAAGTTCGTAAACCAAGGTACCACTGTATACATACAGAGCAGCTGGTAAGAATGGCTGACTGAACAAATAATTGAACTTCTCCCAGTTAAGCTCGAACTGTCAAACTATACATTGATAATAACTGATTGTCATGGTGAGATGTCAGCCTGAAACTTGTGTTATTATCCCAGTTTTTGCTTATCTGATAGAATAATTTGATACCTGCAATGAAATCATAAGGATTGAGAAGTGGGGAGTTAACTTTCATCCTGATTTATCCTGAGCAGAGTGGAAACTAATGCTCACTTCCTTTCCCCCCTGTGTGCAAAGGGAAAGAATAGTAGGTTAGCTCCCATGTTATCTTGCTGTACTTTTAACTTCCTGACACTTGTTATGTCAGTGTGCCTAATGAAAGTAGGCTAAAATAACACATATTAATCTCACCTTTCAGTGCCTTATATCTCCCGAACCACATTCCTTCCTTCTTTTCTTATTCTGATTTATCTCATTGCTTGAGAGAGGGGCGGAAGCAAGCAAGAAAGTGTAAAACAAAAGAATAAGTAATTTACAATAGCCAAGAACACACCCACAGTTTGAAGGGGTGTATGATTAAATCGGCAGATTCCTCTCAGCATGATTTAGAAAGGTTTGGAGTAATTCTTTCCCTCGTACTTTGCTTTCTCTCCATTGAACATGCCACCATGTTCTTGTCTGATCTTAAGACGTTTCTCAGTAGGGTTAGGCCTTGTTACTACTCATGTGGGCAAATGTGTCTTGCTTTTACAACACCACTTTCCCCAGTCAACTCCTTTTGCAGCGGGAGCTCAAGGACTTAGTTTCACAGATGAAGTGGGATGGGTAAAGAGGATCATGGCAGGGCCCCCCCAAATTAGCACACACGGGGGCCTCCGTCCAACTTAGGCTCTGTCCCTCTCAGACTCCTCTGGCAACTTTTTCAGGAGGAAAAGAATTCCCCAAATGGAAACTATACAACAGGGTTTCACTTCCTTTTGCAAGCTACAGTGGTACCTCGGGTTACATACGCTTCAGGTTACATACGCTTCAGGTTACAGACTCCGCTAACCCAGAAATAGTACCTCAGGTTAAGAACTTTGCTTCAGGATGAGAACAGAAATCGTGCTCCGGCGGCATGGCGGCGGCAGGAGGCCCCATTGGCTAAAGTGGTGCTTCAGGTTAAGAACAGTTTCAGGTTAAGAACGGACCTCCGGAACGAATTAAGTACTTAACCCGAGGTACCACTGTATTTGCACTCTCCTCCTCTCTCAGGAGATACACTGGAACTGACAGGGAGCAGCAGCAACTAGCGACCCTGAAGGCAGCAGCCAGGAGACCTAGGCCTGGCCCTAACCTTCGTGTTATAGAATCATAGAATCATAGAGTTGGAAGAGACCACAAGGGCCATCGAGTCCAACCCCCTGTCAAGCAGGAAACACCATCAGAGCACTCCTGACATATGGTTGTCAAGCCTCTGCTTAAAGACCTCCAAAGAAGGAGACTCCACCACACTCCTTGGCAGCAAATTCCACTGTCGAACAGCTCTTACTGTCAGGAAGTTCTTCCTAATGTTTAGGTGGAATCTTCTTTCTTGTAGTTTGGATCCATTGCTCCGTGTCCGCTTCTCTGGAGCAGCAGAAAACAACCTTTCTCCCTCCTCTATGTGACATCCTTTTATATATTTGAACATGGCTATCATATCACCCCTTAACCTCCTCTTCTCCAGGCTAAACATGCCCAGCTCCCTTAGCCGTTCCTCATAAGGCATCGTTTCCAGGCCTTTGACCATTTTGGTTGCCCTCCTCTGGACACGTTCCAGTTTGTCAGTGTCCTTCTTGAACTGTGGTGCCCAGAACTGGACACAGTACTCCAGGTGAGGTCTGACCAGAGCAGAATACAGTGGCACTATTACTTCCTAGATCTAGATGCTATACTCCTATTGATGCAGCCCAGAATTGCATTGGCTTTTTTAGCTGCCGCGTCACACTGTTGGCTCATGTCAAGTTTGTGGTCAACCAAGACTCCTAGATCCTTTTCACATGTACTGCTCTCAAGCCAGGTGTCACCCATCTTGTATTTGTGCCTCTCATTTTTTTTGCCCAAGTGCAATACTTTACATTTCTCCCTGTTAAAATTCATCTTGTTTGTTTTGGCCCAGTTCTCTAATCTGTCAAGGTCGTTTTGAAGTGTGATCCTGTCCTCTGGGGTGTTAGCCACCCCTCCCAGTTTGGTGTCATCTGCAAATTTGATCAGGATGCCCTTGAGTCCATCATCCAAGTCGTTGATAAAGATGTTGAATAAGACCGGGCCCAAGACAGAACCCTGTGGCACCCCACTAGTCACTCTATGGCTGGGGTCACCACCATATCGTGTGTCTGTTTTGCAACAGGGTAAAGGGGAAGACTGTAGTTAGTGGCAGAGCACATGTTTGGCATGCAGAAGGTCCCAGATTCAATTCCTAGCATCTCCAGGTAGGGCTCCCGTCTGAAATCCTAGAGGGCTGCTGCCAGTCATGTGGATAGTACTGAGCCTCAGGTGAAGTTCTGGGCCTCAGGTGAAGTGAATCCTGGTTCTGTGGTTTTAGAGGCAGCCCTGTTTAGGGATGCTTTTAATATTTGATGAATTATTGTATTTTAATATTTTGCTGGAGGCCACCCAGAGTGGCTGAGGAAACCCAGTCAGATGGGCGGGGTATAAATTATTATTATTATTATTATTATTATTATTATTATTATTATTATCTTGTTCTCTATGTCTGTATTATAAGGAAACGCACTAACGTGTTTTACCTTTTTTCCCCCCTCACCTGCAGGTTTCATTGGTTAGTTTAGTAGCCAATGCTCTGGGCTATTCTGAACTGGGTGCCATTAAATCACTTCGAACACTAAGAGCTTTGAGGCCTTTAAGAGCCCTGTCACGATTTGAAGGAATGAGGGTGAGATAGCCATGAAATGACCCTGAAATAATATGTGCATGAAACATGACTATCCACGCAGAATAAAGAATGACAAATCCATGTTGAAATGTTGCACTATATATTTTTCTTTTTCTTTACTGCATGCCACAGTCACCAGCGTTTCTAAAAGCTTATCAGTTCTACAGTCTTTGGGGAGGTTTCCTTCTCAGCCAAGCATTTACATCTCGGTCCCTTGCATGTATGTTGCTTAAAAGTTATTTCAGGATTGCATTGGTTGTGTTAAGACACTCCAGAATGATCAGATTTGTGTGTGAGTGTACAGGGCTATGTGTACTTTGCAACTCCCAGATTAAAATATTGAGGTCAAGCAGTCCAAAGTTTGCAGCAAGGAAAGCTGGATTTTGGAACATCATTGGGTTACACAGACTGATAAATTGTGTATTTATATTTCTCTGTTACATAGTTTGTTTGGCAATTTCTACCATGTCTTATGAGTTATGGGAGGGCCAAAGGATTGAACTGAAGCAGCTGCACTCCTGCCCCCCCCCCAAAAAAGCTTGTTTAGCCACATGCCTGGCTTCTGAGCTTTCAACAAACATACTTTCAAGGATACTTTTGCAGGCAGAAGAGTTATAAATGCTCCACCAGGCATAATATCCTGCACTCCCACATACATACAGCCCTGTATGCATTCCCGACAAGGCTACACAGCATTAAATAAAAGTTGCATGTTTTCAATCTGAGCATCATTTGAAAATGGTAGAGAACACGTTGAAGATGGCTTAACTGCTGTCACTTCAGCAGTAGAATGCAGGTGAGTGTGTTCATTGTTTAATAGTTCAACCTAGTGAACTTGTGGTCAGGAATTTATACTCAAATCAAAAACCTTTTAACAACACAATATTCCAGTGTATAAAGGTCACTATACTAAGGACCTAAACCTGAAGACTGAGGGAGCGCAAATCACATAAATGATAAGGGCACAAATTTAGTTTTCAGGGTCTCAAAATTCCAGATTGTTCTGTCATGAAATCTAACAACAGGAATGAATTCTGCTTATTGGGATTTGACACACAGATAATTAGATGGTGCACTGGACTCCAGCCTTCAGACTCTCACAAAATTTCCACACAAATTTGTAGACCAAAGATTAAAAATCTTTTAAGAGCTGCATAATCCCTAGAATCCAATATTTCTTTCCAAAGACAAAATTGGACAGAATTTCCACTACTGCAGGTGACATAAAATACCTGTTCCACATTTGTTAGATTGTTTAGTGTGTAAGTGCCTGCACTGCACTATAATAATACCTTTTTGGGTACCTGTTAAAAACATTCTTGTTTAGACAAGCCAACCCAGATACTTAGAAAATTGAGGCAATTTTAATCTGTTTTTAGTATTTTAACTTTTGTATGGTTTTAAAGTACGGTTGTGAATTTTTCTTGATTTTACTGCTTTCTCTTTTTTGTCAACCGCTTTGAGGTTTGTTTGTTTTTACGATCAAGCAGTGTATAAATTTTATGAAATAAATAATGAAAGTTTACCCTGGTAGACTAAAAAGGCATACTAAACAAGGCAATGAAAGAGAGCTCGAGTGTGAAGCTAAGGAGCATGAACTCCTCATTAGCAGTATATTAGAAACTATTTGCATCACCTGGGAAAAAGTGTGTGTGATGTCTTTTACTTTAAAGGATGGCTATCTATAGGGCAAGAATGTGGAAGCTCCAGTCCTCCATGGCTGAGAGGAGTTGGAGTCCAATGACCTCTAGAGACCTACAGGTTCCCCAGCCATCTTTTAGGATGTTTATATGATGCTTCTGGTTTGGTCCAACAACTCATTTGACCTCTCTAATGGCCACATTGATATCTGCCTTCCAGTAAATAATTTAGGTTTTATGATTTGGGGTTGGGGGTGGGTTAGGGAGAAGGTTTGTTCAGTGCCTGTAGGTTTCAAGATGATGGAAGGGTGCAGAAGGGTTGCAAAGTCCTCATCAAGTGAAGAGGCCAAACAAAATTGTGGATCTGCAAGGTGGACATGCCCCCAAGACAATCCTTGCATGTATAGCATGTATCAAGGCTTCACCTATCTTGCAATAAACCCTTAGATTTCCTCCGTTTTTTATGCAAAACATCTTGATATCTAGTTTAATTCCAAAACATGTTCGTGCTCACGGAAGGGCTTTTGATTCAGCATCCACTAATGGAAAAGGAAGAGAACGTGGTTTTTGCAAATTCCCTCTGCACTTTCCAACGGGGGGGGGGTCCCCCAAACTCTGGAGCTAATTTGGAGGAGGGGCACTGAGGATTGCAGTGGTGAGGGGGAATATGCAAAAAAAAAAAAATGCCCCCTCTTCTCTTCTGTTAGCAGACACCTCTGCTGAATCAAAATACCTCCTGTGAACACAAGGGCATGAATTGGATTCCGCACTTAATATTGACATCCAATGAAATGTGTATTTGCCAACAAAAGCTCAGGCTGCTTCAGAAGTCGTATCTTCATTTTAGAACAAAGTCAAATCAACGCACATAGTTTTCCTAAAGAGAAGTGTAGCTATTTCATAAATTAGTCTTGAATTTATTTGGCTATATGTAACATGAATATGCTTTTCTCCTTCCACAAAGCTCTGCAAATTTAAAAGGCTTATTAAAGAATTAGGGTTGAAGGCTGAATGCTTAGTGGAGAAAGTCTTGTTGCTTTACAAGACATCTTAAAACCCAGGCAGTTGCTTCATGGCTTTCGTTTGCTTCAGCATCTCAGCCATTCCCTGTTTGAAGGCCTAGTCTGTTGCACAGTTATCGGTCTTTGATTTATATTCTTGGTATTTAACTTTTCTCTCTCTCTTTTTTCCTGCCTAGTGCACACAAATGTTACGATTCCATCTTGCCACTATCAGGTTTTATTTTACTTTTTGCACTTACTTGCTTTCCCTGTAGAGTTTAGTTCCTGCTTCTTTGTCTTGTTTCTTTTGCACTGTACCATTAACAACGGGATTTTCTATTAACATGCATCAACCCCCTCCCACATATATGTGTATGCGTATTTAAAACAGCCTAAGTGTCAAAATTGTAAAGACACAAGTAGAAATTTGGAAGCTATATTCTTCAGCTGTAAAAGATAAATCGGAATTTTCTTTTTCTTTTCTTTTCTGTCCAATTTTCATGATAGGTGGTTGTCAACGCTCTGGTTGGTGCAATCCCTTCCATCATGAATGTGCTCTTGGTTTGCCTCATATTCTGGCTGATCTTCAGCATCATGGGCGTAAACCTGTTTGCTGGCAAGTTCTACCACTGTGTTAACACCACGACAGGTGAAATGTTTAATATTAGCGAGGTTGACAATAAAACTCAGTGTGAAGAGCTCATCAACGACAATCAGCCTGCCCGGTGGAAAAATGTGAAAGTAAATTTTGACAATGTTGGAGCTGGTTACCTCGCTCTGCTTCAAGTTGTAAGTAGTTTAGTTTTCCTACCCTATACTCCCTGCATAAAATACCAGTGCATAGGATCAGGCTTCGAGGTTCTGCCATCCCTGGGTGGGCTCGAACCAATAACCTGGTTAACAGCCAGACGCACTGACCCATTGCGCCACAGGCCGTGTTGATACAACTCCTCCGCCAAATTTTGACATCAACATTCCCTGCATACATGCCTGTATGTTTACAACTGTGCTTAATGTTTGCATTTTATCTGCAGGCTACTTTTAAAGGATGGATGGATATTATGTATGCAGCTGTTGATTCAAGAGATGTAAGTATCAGTATACATTCCATCATACATGTAAGCACTAATTCTGTTGGTAACTCGTGGGAGTCTGCTTGACAATCCCTGCAGTCAAAATATTGATGGTTTTTCTGTGACGTACAGATGACAAGCCCATAAGTCTGCTGACCTAAGGAACTAAAAAAACCACTCAAATTTTGGGCTCATTGTTTATAACACAGTAGTTGCATACAGATAGATACACATGCTAGGCTGTTTCTTCTTCTTCTTCTTTTCATTGAATTTGTGTGCTTTGAAGAAAATGGGTGCTTCGTGTGTCTATGTTGAGATCCTGCCATTTCTTGTTGGATTGTAGGTAGAAGATCAGCCGTATTATGAGGACAACCTCTACATGTATCTTTATTTTGTTATCTTCATCATCTTTGGATCATTTTTTACTTTAAACCTTTTCATTGGTGTCATCATAGATAACTTCAATCAACAAAAAAAGAAGATAAGTATTTAAGGGTTTTCTCTATTCTCTGGAAATAAAGCTACAGTAGTACCTCGGTTTTTGAACGTAATACCATGGAAGACCATTCGAGTTCCGAAATGTTCAAAAATTGAGGACTCAATAGCCGACAGCTAGGCCTCCGGATCTTGCACTCAGCGGAAGCCACATGGCATGTTCGACTTCCAAGGCGTGTTCGAAAACTGAAGCATTTACTTCCAGGTTTTCAGCGTTCAAAAACCAAAACGTTCAACTTCCAAGACGCTCGAAAACCAAGGTACCACTGTGCTATAAATATTTGGTGTGGTTTTTTTAATCGCCAAACCTAAGTCCTGCCTGGTGTGAAGTAATCGTCTTAGAACATTAAAAGAATAGACAGTTTTTCATTTATTTAAAATGCTCGCTTTAGAAGCTGACTTTTCTGCTGCACCACTATGAACTTGAAGTAAAAAAATAAAATAAAAAAGTATGATATCACTTCAAGACCCTGAGAGTGTTAACTTGTAATGTGTAACTTGGGGGGTTGAGGGGAATATATATTCCGCTTTTCTGTCGTTATAAAGGCCCCTAGGCAGCAATCAAGTCTAAATGAAACATTGAAAACGCTAAAAACATTACAGCACAGCAGCAAAGTCAGAAAAGAGGCAAAATGAATGCACAATTAATCATCTTGCAAGTCCTACCCACCCCTTGATTATGCTAAGAAAAAGCATAATTTACAGTGTGACGAAAAGACAGCAACAATGGAACCAAATAGGCTTCTTGCACAAATTTGGTCCAGGACCCATACTGACTACCTGCCCATGATACCTCAGATAACAAGGTGTTAGGGAGAATGACCCCCTGCTGTTCATTTAAGTGGATGCGTACTTGTGGGTCGCGTTGATGTTCATGATTTCCATTTAGGACCATAAAGTAAGGTTACCAGATTTTTTTCAATGAATCCGGGGACACTTTTCAACTTCCTACTAAATAGATGGATTTTGTCAGGGCAGTGATTTGTAAATCCGGGGACTGTCCCTGGGAAACGGGGATGCCTGGTAACCTTACCATAAAGGCCGAAACCAGCACTTTGAACTGGGCCCATGAAATAGCTTGGTAGGCTATCAATATGGTGTAATATGAGAGTAATACGCATTGGCCCATGAAGGCTCTCATTGGCCTCTAGTATAAGCTGGAACTTACGTGGTGTTTTAACCAATGTTTTAAAATGCGCTCAGTTAATCAGAGCATAAGTTAATCTGCGGACGTGTTTTGTAACATGATTTGTCTTCATTTCATTTCTTTACTTTGGAGGCCAGGACATCTTTATGACGGAAGAACAGAAGAAATATTATAATGCCATGAAGAAACTAGGGTCTAAAAAGCCACAAAAACCTATACCTAGACCAGGGGTAAGGATTTCTTTCTACTTCATATATTTGAAGATTCAGCACTGTCTATCGAAAGTCTATATAAGCCATTTAATATACTATTTAAAAAAAAATAAATCTAAGCAGTACGCAAAAATAACATGAAAAAATAAAACTATAAACTTCTTTACCCTGGGCTTCGATACCTGAGAAGTTTGTTTACAGTTTATTTTTGTGACTGGTTTGTTTTAGACTGTTAGACTCTTAGACTCACAGAATTATAGAGTTAGAAGGGACGTCCAAGGATCATCTAGTCCAACCCTCTGCAATGCAGGACTATGCAGCTGTCCCATAGGGGGATCAAACTTGCAACCTTGGTGTTATCAGCCCCATGCTGTCACCAACTGAGCTACATGGCAATGGTATTAATATTGTAAATTGTTGTAACCTGCCCTAGGACCTTATGATGAAAGATTGGAAGAAATAATAGTAATAATAGGCCCAGGTAAACAACAGTAGGCCCAGGTAAAAAAAGGGATTAAGAAATCACCAGGTCCCATCTTATGGGTCAGGGAAAGTCTGAGCCAAAAAAAATTGTCTTCACAAACTCTCTGAAGTAACCAATAGGTGATGCTTCTTGTATGGCAGATGAAAGAGCTTCCACAATGGCGTAGAGGCAGTGGCAACAATTTGCTACCTGCTCTCTGCTTTCATTCTCAATTATACCCTAATCATGTTTTCCCCACCTCTTACATTTTCAAGTAATATAGGGTGAAATTATTGTAGTTTATGCTGGCCAGTTTAAATATACGAAACTTTAGGTAGCAGTGGCCTTAATATTTTGGTTCACCACATGCCTGACTCTTAGGACAGCTCAGATGAAATTGAGGTTGTTTATTGCTTTTCTGCTTGCCTCCCAATAATGTTAAAAGAAGCAAGAGCTCTAGCAATTACTTCTCAAAAAGCTAAGGTGCTAGGAAGCAGATTTAATAGCCTGATCCTTCAAAAGAAGAGGGCAAGATATAGATAGATGATAGATAGATAGATAGATAGATAGATAGATAGATGATAGAGATATGTTTGTAAAGAGAGTTATTTTCACATTATTCCCATTTTCTGTTTTTATTTTTAACAGAACAAATTCCAAGGCATGGTCTTTGATTTTGTAACAAAACAAGCCTTTGACATCAGCATCATGATTCTTATCTGCCTTAACATGGTCACCATGATGGTGGAAACAGATGACCAAAGTAAAGAAATGGAAACCATTTTATCTAGGATTAATCTAGTGTTCATTGTGCTTTTCACTGGCGAATGTGTACTCAAACTGATTTCACTCCGTCATTATTACTTCACCATCGGATGGAACATCTTTGATTTCGTAGTTGTCATTCTCTCCATTGTAGGTAAGAACCATTTCTTTCCATGAAGGCGTAGCCTGACAAGCCTTTTCACATATTGTGGTTGTTTTTTCCCCCCTTCTCAACCTGGAGAAGTGCTTATAGCACACCCACATAATTGTGTATTATGAATGGACACCTGTCTGTTGCACGATGTAAAAACAGTGGGAAGGCATGGTTGGCTGTGACTTCCTGTTGTGCTTACAAACAGAAAATAAATAAATCTATACATATATGCTGGCTACATATGACCGTATGATGAACGTTTCCTCCTACACATGTATAATATTTCATGAAGGTATCTGTGAAGCTAAGTGTGATATTTGTAGACAAAAGTTATCATGTATGTAGATCCTACAGAAAAACACAAATTTGCTTCATCATATGTCCTAACCACAAGGGACATAGGTGGCACTGTGGTTAAACCACAGAGCCTAGGACTTGCCGATCAGAAGGTTGGCGGTTCAAATCCCCGCGACGGGGTGAGCTCCCGTTGCTCGGTCCCTGCTCCTGCCAACCTAGCAGTTCGAAAGCACGTCAAAGTGCAAGTAGATAAATAGGTACTGCTCCGGCGGGAAGGTAAACGGCGTTTCCGTGCGCTGCTCTGGTTCGCCAGAAGCGGCTTAGTCATGCTGGCCATATGATCCGGAAGCTGTACGTCGGCTCCCTCAGCTAATAAAGCGAGATGAGCGCCACAACCCCAGAGTCAGTCACGACTGGACCTAATGGTCAGGTGTCCCTTTACCTTTACCTTTATGTCCTAACCACAGTCTGACTAGCACTCTAAAGTCAGCCAAACCATTTTGGAATGTTTTTTAAAATCATTTTTTAATGAATTTCTGTTATATTTCTTACTCGTTTTGTGATGCTATCAAATTAACAGTTGTAAAATGTGCTTAAGATAACTGAAGATTAACAAATGACAAAATAGAATATTTGTTTTTCTTCATTGTTAATCTTCATGTATATTAAATTACATCCACATAATTGTCCCACAATTTTCACATTGTAATTAAAACAACACACGTTTTCAAGATGTTTTACAAGATAGCCTACTTCCCTGTGGTTATGCTTTGTGTACCTCTGTCTTATGTATCTGCATTAAGAAAAACATTAATATTTACAGTATGAGCACAACTGGGACATATTAAATTACATTCACATGCTGACATCCATCTCTTTCCCTGTGACTAATATGGTCATATTCAAGGCACCCTAGAAAAGAACTCCCTTTGCTTTAGATTTCTTTCACCCATGGAGCTGCTTCACCCAGCACACTAAACCATAGTTGGTTTTAAATCATGTTTAATTGTGAAAATGTCTCCCACTCTTTACATAACTTCCCCCTCCATGGGTGCCACACACAGCAGAAACAAACCATAGTATAGCTTGTCTTGTCATGCAAACCCCCAAAGTGGTTTAATTTTTTAAATAAAAAGAATCATGAGTGGTAAGTTAAAAATGTCAAGAACAAATCTTGGCTTATTTCTGTTTTACCATAATCATGGTCTGCAGGACACAACAAGCCATACTGTGGTTCGTTTGTGTTGTGCAGAGCACCCACATGGGGGGGTGTCTGAAGATGTGTAGGGAGTGAGAAGGATATAAACTATAGTTTAAAACAAACTATGGTTCAGCACAACCTGCAGACCAACTCATAGCATGAATCTTGAGTATAATGTCCAATTCATGTTCCTACACAATATGAAACATCTGGTTATAAAACTGGTGTTGCCTTAAATATTTTTCTTTGCAGGTATGTTCCTAGCAGAAATCATTGAAAAATACTTTGTGTCGCCCACCTTGTTCCGAGTGATCCGACTTGCCAGGATAGGCCGCATCCTGCGTCTCATCAAGGGTGCTAAAGGGATCCGCACTCTGCTTTTTGCCTTGATGATGTCTCTCCCTGCCTTGTTCAACATCGGTCTTCTCCTTTTCCTGGTCATGTTCATCTACGCTATATTTGGAATGTCCAACTTTGCCTACGTGAAGAGAGAAGTGGGCATTGATGACATGTTCAACTTTGAAACTTTTGGCAACAGCATGCTCTGTCTCTTTCAAATCACCACCTCTGCTGGCTGGGATGGGTTGCTGGCTCCCATTCTCAACAGTGGGCCGCCAGACTGTGACCCTGAGATAGACCACCCAGGAAGTTCAGTGAAAGGAGACTGCGGCAATCCCTCCGTTGGGATCTTCTTCTTTGTTAGTTACATTATCATATCATTTTTAGTTGTAGTGAACATGTATATTGCCGTGATTTTGGAGAACTTCAGCGTTGCTACAGAAGAAAGTGCTGAGCCTTTGAGCGAGGACGACTTTGAGATGTTCTATGAGGTCTGGGAAAAGTTTGATCCAGATGCAACCCAGTTTATAGAGTACTGTAAACTCTTTGATTTTGCAGCTTCTCTGGAGCCGCCTCTTCTCATTGCAAAACCAAACCACGTTCAGCTTATTGCGATGGATCTACCCATGGTAAGCGGTGACCGAATTCACTGCCTTGACATCTTGTTTGCCTTTACAAAGCGTGTTTTGGGGGAAAGCGAAGAAATGGATTTGCTCAGAGTGCAAATGGAAGACCGGTTCATGGCAGCCAACCCTTCGAAAGTGTCCTATGAGCCAATTACAACCACCCTGAAACGAAAGCAAGAGGAAGTGTCTGCTACCATCATCCAGCGGGCTTTCAGGAGTTTCCTCTTAAAACAAAAAGTGAAAAAAGTGACCTCTATGTATAATAAAGACAAGTGCAAAGACGGCATTGCCCTTCCCATCAAAGACACGATTCCTGATAAATTTAACAGGAACTCGACTCCTCCGGAGAAAACAGAGGAAAGCTCCTCAACCACCTCCCCACCTTCCTACGATAGCGTTACCAAGCCAGGCAAACAGAAATATGAAAAGGGCAAAACGGACAGAGACTATAAAAGTAAAGATGCCAGGGCTAGCAAAAAGTGAAGCAAACTTTTTACGTTCCTATTTGTGTGCAAATTTGTTTACAGCCTTTGAAAGGGTACGTATCCTGTCAGCGAGACTCCCTTGGGAGATTTATGCCAAACCTGTCACTTTATACTTTATAAATATATTACATAGATATATCTATATATGTATATAAACAGATAAAATCTCTCTAAAGGTCAGTGCCTATAACAAGACAGTGACCCCTCGTCACCAAACTAACTCTGTAAAACAGGGTAGGAGCCTGCTTTACTCACAGCCGGCAGGGTGGAAGAGAGACAAGACAGGAACAGAGACAATATGGCTGTTCCAAGAGGTGCACAACGCTATAGCCTATGTGTTTAATATACTGCAAGACACTTGGTCGGTAAGTGTTTTCACTGTGTCTATTTCAACTGCCACATTTGCCATATTTTTACACACACACACACACACACACACAGTGTAGGTGGGTTTATCATTAAAAACAAAAAACATTCACAGGGTGTTTACTATTATATGTGACTATTTTTGTAAAACGGGTTTTCTGTTGCGGCGGGAGGGAAGGGGTGGGGTTACCAGGACCACGTGTTCTACTCTCTGATTCTCTGTCACATGCAGACAGAGAAGCAAACTGCATGAAGGCATGCTGCGCTTAAGAGATCCTGCATGGAACCGACGTGACGTCATCAGGCAGAGTTTTAAACCACTTCTGTATTTCAAGGTTGGCTCCGATGGTTTTTTAAAAAGCGATTTTACACCTTCTGTTGACCGATCAGGCAAATCCTCTTGTGCCTGCAGTTGATAAAAATAAAAAAAAATCCCAAATGGATTATTTTTATGCTGATCACTCAATCCAAGCATACACACACGCATACACACTATCTCAGTCCTAGGTATTTCTCTAAATCCAGCCCTTTGCCCAAGGTGAGGTCGTCTCTGCATGGAACAATCACTTCCGTCACAGGTTAATTCCCAGTACTGAGCATCTGTGCAGCAGGAATAGGGAACAGACAGAAGTGTCCCATGCCAGAGGTGCCTGTTGACTGGTCAAATGGTTTCGGGAGTAAAGTAGTGCAAAAATAGGCCCGGAAATGGGCAAAAAAAGATAGGGTCTTAAAAGTATTACTTTGTCTTAAAAGTACTGTATAGTCCTCTGCTCTCAGTATAGTTCATGCCTAAATCTTAGAAACAAAGACAAAAAACAAACGCCAGTTTAACTCTGTGATGTAAATACTCATTTTATAGTTGTACATATTTGAGCATACAAGCAAATGGTTTGGCCACAGTGTATTTCTGCAAACATGTGCCACAGCAGGTCTAGCTTGCAAGCTCTCGGCAGATGATATCTTATATTCCTAACCATTACAGATAACTGGGAGGGCACTGGTGCATGTGAATATTGCCTTTGCTAAGACTGCACCTTGCTCCTTCCATGGTCCACTTTCATTTTCTAGAGGAAGTAGTGAAGTGAATGAAATCGCCTCATTTCTTCCTATCACTGAGCAATAGTTGGCAGTTATCAATGAGCTTTCCCCCCATTTTTTCCTCTCAGCCTTCTAAAGTTTCAACAGGCTACAATTCAGTGTAGACCAAGACAGTATTGAGAATACTGTAAGCTGTTTATCCTGTTGACAATGCAGTTAGCATATATAAATAATGTATAAAAAAATGGCAGCATAATGTACATAAGTTTAAGTTCAGATTCATGTAATTTTCTTTTCCACAGTCATTTTGTTTACTTTACATTCATTGTATCTTTCAGTTGAGACCTCCACAATACGAAAATAAACTTAAAATAAAATGATGGAGACTTTGTTGCTTGCTCTGCTTTGTAACTCATTCCAATTAAGCATGTTGTTCCTGTTTTGGCTACAATAATCATCAGCGCTCAAGGAATGATGGGCAGAGCCCACTTCATTCTGCTTTGTGCTGAGTCAGATGATTGTTGGAGATAAAAGTGATTGAACCTGGTCCTCTTTGTATGCAAAGCATGTACCAGCTAGGCAGATGTGCCCTAATACAGAATCCCTGCTTTGTGCAGATATAAAAAGGTAAATATAAAGGATCCATGGATGGTTAAGTCCAGTCAAAGGCAACTATGGGGTTGCTGCACTCATCTCGCTTTCAGGCCGAGGGAGCCGGCATTTGCCCACAGACAGCTTTCCAGGTCATGTGGCCAGCATGACTAAACCGCTTCTGGAGCAACGGAACACTGTGATGGAAACCAGAGTGCATGGAAACACCGTTTACCTTCCCACCAGAGTGGTACCTATTTATCTACTTGCGCTGGTGTGCTTTCAAACTGCTAGGTTGGTAGGAGCAGGGACCGAGGAACGGGAGCTCACCTCGTTGTGGGGATTCAAACCACCAACCTTTTGATCGGCAAGCCCAAGGGTTTCAGAGGGCAAGGCACTGAGGTTTGAACCTTGCACCACTGCAAGGCTCCTGCTTTCAGTCCTAGCACCCTGTACTGTTAAGTGTCATCAGCTGCTTGCTGGAGCAGGCAATAAGCCGGTACATTTTTATTTTTTTAGTAGAGCTTCAACCAGTGCTCCTCGTTATCTCCTTTTACTCTGGATCCAATTGAAAATCATTATTTTTGACGTTTGCCGGTTAACGTCACTTTTGAGTGGGGGATGGAGCGAGCACATTCTGACGTGTCAGATCTATTCCTGCAAAAATCGCCTCACAACCAAAATCTATAATGCCACTCAGATGTGGTGTTAGTGCTCTTGATCACATGAAATTAAATAGTTCCTTCTTCCTGATAAGGAAAAATACCCTGTAATCTCAATCCTGGGCAGAATAAAAAGGTAATATTATACTGCAGTAACCTAAGCAGAGCAAACTGAAGGCTATTAGCATCTCTCCAGAGAGAAAGCAATCACATGCATCTTGGCTGCAGGACTTAGGGTTGATGCGTATTCGAGAAGACATATCATGAACAATTTATAGCAGGCAGGCGGGCATGCCACACACTCAACACTTAAGTAATTTCTTAGTCTAAAAAAATGTCATTTTAAGTTTTTTATGCACCCGCACAGGGGTTAGGAACTAAAAAAAAGGAGTCAGCCAAAGTTGCTATTTCTAATTTGAACATTTGATTCAAAGAAGCTCTACGAGGCTGGTGGAAGGTATCTTTCCTGTCCCTTCTCCCCTTAAAAACCATTTTAGAAATCTATCTTGAAGGGTAGGATGGGTTGTGGTGAAAGGGGAAGGGGAATTTGCCAAAAACAGGGTAGAGGAACTAAGGATTGAGTGATCCTGCTTCCATTCTCTCCGTCTTCTGAGCTCGATCAGGAGACAATTGAAGGAGGGGAATTCTGATAGGGTTGGTCCACTTTCATGGACTACTAACCCTGTTTATATCAAGTGATATTATACACCACCCTTCTGAGATTTTCCATTCTGTTGCTAGCACAGACAATACAATGCTTAGGAAAAGCCCATGGGGCTACAAGGGTCATGTGGATTTTGCACAGGAGGAGGACATCAGAGGCAATAGCATTGGTCTTAGCCCTCTTCAGATATTGGACCTCAAGGCAGGCTGATAATTAAAGCGTCACCCACACTATGAAGTGCAAACTCCATCTCTGCCTCTTGCTTCTATCATTCCCACCTTTCCTTTTGCTCTAGCATTGGCATAAACCACTAACCTACAGTGAGCCGGTCAGAATTAGATGCTGTGTGTAGGTGTGGTTTTTATTTCATGCTTGCAAGCTGCCTTGCAGGTTTCCACAGGGGGGAAAGCAGGATACAGTGGTACCTTGAGTTACAAATGCCTCAGGTTACAAATGCTTCAGGTTACAAACTCTGCAAACCTGGAAGAGTTACCTCGAGTTGAGAACTTTGCCCCAGGATGAGAACGGAAATCGTGTGCCGGTGGTGCAGCAGCACCAAGAGGCCCCATTAGCGAAAGCACGTCTCTAGTTAAAAGGTACCACTGTATACCTTTAAAAGTAAAACATGCCTCAGAGATCACAGTGGTGCTTCCCCATGACATCAATGTTCTGAGTCCCAGCTGCTTTTCATTTCTAACAGTGGTTGGCACAGTTGGGGAGTGTCGTGGATTGCAGAGAACAGGATTCGGTTCATAGCTGGTTTAGCTATGCATGGTATTCACAGACAGGGTTAATGAGTGTTTCTTTAATGTATATCCAGTGCGTTGTTTTGTTGTCCAACTACAAGTAACTTAGGGAGGTATTGATTTTGGGTTTTCTGCACAGATGGCAAGTAAATGCATTTTGGGAAACCTGGAATGGCAAACATAGCTTGCAGGGCAGAGAATTTCCATCAGGAGCACAGCAGGGGCTAAACTCAGCCATGGTCCACATCTGAATCATACCTCTCTCACTGCTTATCTTTAAAACAAGATGTGGGTGGAAGTCTTGGATTGACTTGGATCCTCACAAAAGCAGTTGCATCTAGCTCTGCTGTCATAGATGTAGTGAATCAATGTAGTGAATAATATGTGTACAGAAAACTAGGATCCTGCCTGGACTCAAAAGGCAGATAGATACACCAGGATATGATGCCAAGAGCTGCATGTGAAGCTTTTATTCCATAAAGAAATTCTAAAGATGGCACTGAGAACCTAACACAGCCACCCAAAGCTTTCTGCTTGATGACTTTTTTCTGGGGTGCATCTCTGTACATAGTGGCTGTCAGCTTGCTGGGCTTTGCTACTCGCTCTCAGGAATCAGAACTTGTCTCTGTCTGATTGGGTAGAATCAGAAAGGAACTCCATGGAAACAAGCAGCAACAGAAGAAAGATTTCATTCTTGAACCTGATTGACAAACGATGGGTCACCTCGAGACTGTCAGAACTTTGCAGGAGGGATTCCAGATCATACTGGAAATGGCATCCAGTGCAATTAAAGCATATTAAGGGGTCTGCCTCAACAAATCCACTTTTTTAAAAAAAACAAAACCTTTTGCAGCTAGGAAAATGCACTAAAAACTGTAGGGAAGTGGTTGATGAACAGTAGGAGAGGTTGGACTGGTTGCAAATGTGGAACTGCCCCACCAAACCTCAGTCCGCCACCAGCCTGCTTGCTTTACATAGTGCCTGTCAGTTTCCTCCTCCTTAGTCTCCCACCATCCCCAGCCAGTCTGGCCAATAATTGAGGCTGATGGGAGTTGGAGTCCAACAGCACCTGGAGGGCAAAGTTTCCCCATTGCTGGTGCAGGCCACCCTCAGCTAGGCAGACTAATGGCCGGAGTCAGTATAAGGCAGCTTCCTATGTTCCTATGGATTGCCACTGATAATGGCCAGACTTACCCTCCGAAGGAAATGTTGCGGAATTAATCTTTACCTCAACTTTCCTTTCCAACTACAGTGGTACCTCGGGTTAAGAACTTAATTCGTTCTGGAGGTCCGTTCTTAACCTGAAACTGTTCTTAACCTGAGGTACCACTTTAGCTAATGGGGCCTCCCACTGCCGCCGCACGATTTCTGTTCTCATCCTGAAGCAAAGTTCTCAACCCTATACTATTTCTGGGTTAGCGGAGTCTGTAACCTGAAGCGTCTGTAACCTGAGGTACCACTGTACTCTGTCTACAATTAGCATTGAGAATTCCAAGAGACCATTTGTTCTGGTTGGAGCCATTATAATTGCTGGTATATATACCATAGCTGTCAACTTACAGATTTGAAAATAAGGGACCAGCAGCCTTGAAAATAAGGGACCAGCAGCCAAAATAAGGGACCTGCAGCCTCACCTGTTCCAGGCACTCCAGTCTTCCTGTCCTCCTGCAGTCTGGTCAAACTCATGCTGGTAGCTTTGAGAACACTGTCCAACCAACTTTGTAACCAGAGGTTCAACTGAATAGAATCTGAATCACATGCACCACAAGGCCTATGCAGCCTCAACTTAAGATGGCTCCCTGGCCTGGCTTTGCACTGCAAAGTTTGCAGCAGCACGTGCAACAAAATGGCGTCCAGCATTCAAAAAAACCCCTCAGCTTGCATTAACTAGCCACACACGAGGCATGCAAACTCCACTCCCCAGTCGTTCTTAGACTTCTTATTGGGTGAGCAACACAGCCAAGCAACACAGTTGGAGCCTCCCTCCTCCCTGGCCGGCAGGGAGGGAGGGAGAGGAGCTGCTTCCTTTGAAATTTAAGGGACATCATTCAAGGGACATTTAAGGGACATCTATCAATAAGGGACAGCAGCGGGACATGGCGCTGAAATAAGGGACTGTCCCTTCAAATAAGGGACACTTGACAGCTATGATATATACTATCAGAAGCAATACCTGAATCCAGACTAATGAACTGCAGCTTGTCTTCTTTCTTCTATTCTTGTGCAAAGAAGGTGCTTCAATAAAAGAGGGGGAAGGAGGAATCGAAACCTTACCCCCAGGCTGCAGTCTCTCTGGTTTCTGTACACAACCGCTCGCTCGCTCTCCCCTCTCCCCCAATCCCAGCCTCGGGATCTCTGTATGATCCTAGGAGAGCCCTCCCTGTGGGATGCATGTCGTCATGGTGACGAGGCATCACCACCTGCATGTCCCTGCAATGGAGGCTGCAAGCTGGAATAAAATGCCTTTGTTTTGCTGTTCCTCGGAGCATGCTTTTTGATCCTGATACATTTTGCATCCAACATGTGACCTGAAGGGGGAAGAAATATTAAACGGAGAGAATTGGAAAAGGATAAGTAAATGGGGGTGGGGAGGAGAAGAAGGGGGAGGAATTTCAGGCAGGCAAATCTGAAAAAGCCAATAAATGGAACAGCAGAGTACATTTGCATGAATTCCTTTTGTGGTGTGTTCATTTAAAAGCATTTTAAAAGCAGACGGGGATACAGACAAGTGGATGCTACAGACAGGCTTCTTTCACTGTGACAAGAACTGGTGGAGATTTAAAGGAAACATGCTCCTTTCCAGGGTATAATGGAAGGTATGAGAAATAACCATGAAAACTGCTGCACTCTTCTTGAAAATTCAACAGAAAAGAGAGAACAGAAAACCCTAGGGGTATTTCTGCATTGCACAACCCCTTTGATGATGCTTCTCTTTAGCTTCCATTACATAGGTATCTGTTATTTGTATGTCAGTTCCTTCTAGGCTGGCTTCCTCCAGATGTCCTGTTTGTAGAATGCTGGTTGGCTTGCACAAAGCTTATGTGATGATTAGACTTCTTCATTTGTTTGCAGGATGGGTTATATGGCAGTGAGTATTCATCCTGATTTGCTTGTGTTTACACATCTTCCTGCTAATCATTTGCCGTCGCCGTCGTCGTCCCCCCCCCCCTTTCTATGCATTTCCCCATCCTGTTCCAAACAGCAAAAAGACTGCTGGTTGCATTATTTTATTTTATTGAGTGGATTTGTTGTACTAGGGTATCAGAGCGCTTTAATCCATTTTAAATCTGCAAGGCTAAACTTTCAACATGCCCTTGAATCCCTCTCACAAATACCTTCGGCTTGGAAGCATGCTGAATCTGTGAAAAGTTTGTCCTCAGCAATAAGACATGGTGCCTTGTGGGCGTGGTTTGGTTTCTATGACCCTTGTAGGTCATCTGCACAGTGAAGGAAGAACATAGCAGCCCTGAAATTGTTTCATCCTCTTATAAAGCCATCCAAGGTAGTGGCCATCCCTGCCTCTTGTAGGAATTAATTCCACAGTTTAACTCTGTATTGTGTGAAAAAAAGTTCTTCCTTTTTTTTCTGCCCTGATTCTTCCAACATTCTCCTCCCTGCTTTTCCCAGTTCAGAGGCTGCTCAAGCTTCCCTTCCGCTGCTATTAACATAACAGCAACAAAAATGTGAGCTGCTGATTAATTGCATCCCCACAATTAACCTCACAGCTAGTTGGGCCCTCAGTGGCTGAGCTAAATAACAAAATGTGGGACCGCCTGTATCTCCAAGTGGGCACCCCAGCTTCCGGCAGTCCCACAACTGCATTCGTAAGTCGCTGGTGATTACTGTATGTACAACTAAATCCTGCCACCTTGTGGGTATCTGCTGATATAAAAGAATCTAACCAAGCAGCACGCTGCTATAATACAAGGCTTCACCCACCTTTCCTGCACAGTCTTTTGTTGTTCTATGGACTATACTGCTTCTGCAACATCAGCTTTATACAACTCCTAGTAAACCCATCCAAAGTGGACATGTGTGGTGCACTTTGCTAAGTAAACTGGATGGATTGACAAGTTCTTTCTGTTGACAAGAGAGGGAGGGATTTCATCAGCACCAACTACTCCCATTCCTGATGAACACTGTCCAAAGCGATCCTATCAATATTTGGAGGGCTGATGAAAACTTACTAAGCCACAAGGCAGAAATATTACTCCAGATACTTAGTGTGGCAGAAGACTCTGCATGAACAGCTAACCATAGGGTCTTTGTAGGATCAACTTCAAAGATTCCCACCCAACCATATTTCTAAATGGGACCAGCCCAGAAGATGAGACAAAGATAACAAGGAGACAGAGTGGGTTACTTTAGAATTAGAGGCTGAATGGGACCCTGGTGCTCTAGGTGTGACCTTATTTCTATAATCATTATTGCAATGGAGCCTTCAAGGACTAGCTCAGTCAATAGAGCATGAGACTCTTAATCTCAGGGCTCTGGGTTCAAGCAAAAGAATCCTGCTTTGCAGGCAGCTGAGCTAAATGAAATCATGGTCCCTTTCAACTCTACATTTCTGTGGTTCTATGAACACTGGACAGGCAAGAGTGGCCAAAATACAACTGATCTCTCCTGCAGAGCATCAAGTATTGCGTCCCTGAAATGGCTGCTGTGCCAGTGGGCTATCTTGCAGCCCTCTTTACTTTCCCAGGCATATGCTATCTTCTGCACCATCATGCTCATGTAAAATATATTGTATTGATTGGAAAGGGTGAGGAAGACATTCAAGCACATGCCCAAACACCAACTTTGCACATTTAAAATGGATTAAATTGCTCTGTCACCCTAGCTCAATAGATTCACTTAAAAAAAGAAAATATTTTCGTGGTTTGGAAAGCGATGGAGATGTGCACAGGAAGAAATGTGAACAGCCCACAAGCCAATCGTGATGGATGCTCATGGTCATATAGGTAAAAAGGTAATGGACCCCTGGATGGTTAAGTCCAGTCTAAGGTGACTATGGGGTTGCGGCGCTCATCTCACTTTTCAGGCTGAGGGAGCCGGTGTTTGTCTGCAGACACCTTTTTGGGTCACGTGGCCAGCATGACTAAACCGCTTCTGGCACATGGAGGACTGTGGAGAGTGCCAGAGCACACAGAAACACCTTTTACCTTCCTGCCACAGTGGTGGCTGTTTATCTACTTGCACTGGTGTGCTTTCGAACTGCTAGGTTAGCAGTTCATGGTCATATAACCATTCCACAAACAAATAAGAACAAATGCTCGATAAAGACCAGATATGGTCAACCCACCGCATAAGGTATGTGCAAGTGAATCAGGATGAATGCTGAATAAGCAGCTTGTCTGAAAGAACCCTAAGTGAGTGCTAACATGAGAGCCACCAGATCATGCTCTTAGGAAGAGCTTAGGAGAACTTCATGGGATGGAATCAATTATATTGGAATATAAATATTGGAAAGAGCAATGTCTTGGCTGTTTGCCTGGCTGAGTTTCTCACAAGCACCTTTCTAATCAGACCGTGTAACTTTCCTGCCTATTTTTAGCTGGAATTTTTTGGTAGCTCTTTCTGCTGTTTCCATGCCACTAACAGGAAAAGATTCAGCAGAAAGAATCTGGAACTGTCTGGAGTGACTCACAAAAAGATAGAGCCACAATTTCCCCAAGATACAGTTGCTATGGCAAACAGGTAGATGCATCTAGGTTTTGTCTGTGCCAAAGCAGTCTTACACCATCTACTTTGGATTTCATTTTGCAAGTTTTATTCTGCCGTTGCTCAGTAGTCACAGCTATTTCAGTGAAGAATTGGCGGAGTTTCTCATTCAGCCTGATACTAGTCACTTCAGTTGCAGCTGTGTAAGCGGAGGGACCTGCAACCAAAGTGATAAAAGGGGTTACCTATTCATTGCTAACCTTCTCTCCCCTTCTCTTCTGGTCCCATGTTGGCAATAAATTATATAGACCTCATCAGATTGGGACAAGCCGCATCGATGGGCAGCTCAATTACATAAGGACACTCACCAAACTTGTGCTCTGCGGATGCCTAGAACTACAACTCCCATCAACCCTAGTCAGTGCTAGCTGGTGCTGATTTGAGTTGTAGTCCAAAATATCTGGAAGACACCAGCTTGGTGAAGGCTGACATAAAGGCCACCGGAGGCACAGCCCAACAGGTGAACCGTTCTAAAAATGACACAAAGTTAAAATCAAAGTATTCCCCGAGTGTGCTTTTCCCCACAAAATAAATCCTTTCAAGAGATTTTTTGAGAAAAGCATAAAATAAAACCATTTTGTTAGTTTCCACAAGAAGCACAGAGTTAAGAATATGGTTTCTTTGCTTTAAAATCCCATCTGTGCATGCATAATTTTCCTAACGTTTGCAGCAACAAATGTCACATTTTGCTTATTTGTTTAAAAGACGTCTGAACTGCCTTTCAGGCTGCCTCTCTAAGTGATTTACAATCGGATAAACAGCATAATGGTAATACATTTAAAACGCTTAAAATATCTCATAAATATGAAACCAGCACAAGACGGTAAATAGCCCATTTAACAACTGATTAGTTGGTTTTGCTGCATTTTACCTCTCTCTAGATACTGGAAAAGGGACATCGGTGTATTGGGACTGTGGTGTAAACTTGGGCTTGCCGATCGGAAGGTTGGCAGTTTGAATCCCCACAACAGGATGAGCTCCTGTTGCTCGTTCCCAGCTTCTGCCAACCCAGCAGTTCGAAAGCACATCAAAGTGCAAGTAGATAAATAGGTACCGCTCTGGTGGGAAGGTAAACGGCGTTTCCGTGTGCTGCTCTGGTTTCACCAGAAGGGGCTTAGTCATGCTGGCCACATGACCCGGAAAAACTGTCTGCAGACAAACGCCGGCTCCCTCGGCCAGTAAAGCGAGATAAGTGCCACAACCCCAGAGTCATTCGTGACTGGACTTAAGTGTCAGGGGTCCTTTACCCTTTTTTTAAGATACTGGAACAGTTAGCAAACTAACTAGTTGGGTTAATGGTCATGATGCTGGGGGGTGGGGGAAGCACAGCCCAATTAATAGACTTACATTCTACAGATAACAATGGATATCACCTTAAATTATACTGCCTGGAAGGTCTGACTTTTTAATCCTGAGACTCCCACAACCAGATATCACAAAGCAGTTACAACCACTCGCTAGCTAGATAACATAAATCCAAGAACATATGCAGCAAAAGAAATGTGGACAGTTTGCTTACACAACCCATAAAAAACCCGATGACAGGTGACCTGCTGGTGTGCAGCAAAGGTCTGCAAAGTCCCCCCCCCCACTTGTTAAACATTAGAAAAATCTTCCTAATTCATTTATTGCAAACCATCAGTTGTACAGTATGAAACACACACTGTGTATAAACAAGATGACCTAGTTTTCAACATCTGCAAGTCTTTGCTCAAAGCTTGTTTGTTACTTGAAAAGGCAATTAAAATTTAAACAAGTGCTAGAGAATAATCCATTTGATATGCTTTGGATTTGGCGGGGGGAGAGATGGTTAGGCATTTAGTTATCTTAAACTCAGAGCCTAAAGTCCTCTGTTATCAGAATGCACCGAACAGTGTGCATGGACCACACAAGTCCATATCAGGCCAGAGACTGAGAGGGGGTCATGAGGCAAATATATAATAGAGGCAGGTTTAAAACATGTGCTAGCCTCAAATTATAATAGCTATAAGCCACTAAAGGCTAAAGGACACACCCTGGTTAAGAAGTAAAATGGGATTTGCATTGAGGAATGTGGTGGCGTGAGCACTGCTGGACTGCGTTCCTCCAAAATCCTAGATGGTTATCTGATGCATAGAATCATTCCATAAAAATGCATTACGGAATTAAATTAACTACAGTTATTATACAAGATTGCATAGAACTGATTGTGTGGTGTAAATATTATATTTTTATTTCGTTTACTTATCACTTCCTATGAAAATACGCACACACCACCATCCACAATGCAAACATATACAGTGGTACCTTGGGTTATAGATGCTTCAGGTTACATACGCTTCAGGTTACAGACTCTGCTAACCAGAAATAGTACCTGGGGTTAAGAACTTTGCTTCAGGATGAGAACAGATATCGCACTACGACGGTGCAGCAGCTGCAGAAGGCCCCAATAGCTAAGGTGGTGCTTCAGGTTAAGAACAGCTTTAGGTTAAGAACGGACCTCCGGAACGAATTAAGTACTTAACCCGAGGTACCACTGTGTATCTTTTTTTAAAAAAAAAAAAAAAGATCAGATCCAAAACAGGTACATAGGATAAAAATCTCCACATCATAAGGCTTATGGAAAGAGGAAGTTTTTTGAAATGCACCCAGGGGGAAACAGATGTGGAAGACTTGGCTGAGAGCCAGTGTGGTGTAGCTGTTAGAGTGTTGTACTAAGATCTGGGAGACCAGGGTTCAAATCTCCACTCAGCCATGAAGCTCATTGGATGCTCTTGGTTCAGTTACTACCTCCAAGCCTAATGCAGGATTGTTGTGAGATCCTTGGAAGCTCCACCCTGAGCTCCTTGGACGAAAAGTGAGATACGAACGTAATAGTAATAACAAAAGACGTAACAATGCATGCAAACAATGGGGCAGAATTCACCGCTTCCCAGGCGACCTACCGCACACTCATACGAATGACTACATGCAGTTTGTGCAAAGTTTGTCTTCGGTGACAAAAGGGCCAGGAAGAGCCCTGCTCCCCAAGCAACATGTAGGTCTGTTCACGAAATATGCCTGTGCCACAGGAAGAGAGGGAGGGAGGGATGCAAGCATCCGCACAGCAAGGATGGCAGCTTCCAGCAATGGGCCTCGGTCCAATCATCTCCCTGCTCTGCGCTGAGACCCTTACGCCTCTCCTCAGAGCTTTCCATCTCCCTGCTTCACAGCTTCTCACTTTTTTAAAAAAAAAAAATATGGAAACCCGCAAGCTTGCAATAAACGGTTGATTTCTTTAAGGCAGGCAAGCAGCCAATGATAAAATCCCACAGCTCTTTAAAGAAATCTTAGGCTAACTGGTCTCTGCATCTCCCGAAGGAGCATTTCATAAACTTGGCAGCTGTGTAGGGCTTGGCAAGGGAGGCCTGGCACGCCTGTTCGACAACTCTGACATTTCAAGAGGATGGCATTAGTTAAAATAAATGGCTACGCTGCACGGAAGCCTGGCAGAGTAATTAAAAGGTTACTTTCACCTGTCGCCTAGCCATGTGCACATAACACGTGGCTAGCTGCTCGATTCATCATGCCATTTTAAAATACTGCTGCCGTATCTGTTCTTTAATAGAGTATGACAAAAGTGCATGGAAGTCCCTGTGCTTCCAATAAAACTGTGCCTTTGAAAGATAAGGGCAATACTTGGCATGAGGGGCGAATGCCATTGTTCCTGTCCAGTCCTTTCTTCAAATGGTCAGACTTCAGAGGGTGCCTGATGACAGACAACTTGCAGCCAGCCAGCAGGCACCTATCCATCAGCAGATGGCTTCCCTGAGGTTGCTCTCCCTT